AGGATCTAATGAAGCAAAACATTCTTAACTACCGTGGTACATTCAAAAGAAACATATTCAATCTAGTATACAGATTGTAATTCTGACAATTAATATCTGAGTGTTTGTCAATACTGACCAAACCACTCTTTCTTACATTCTCTTGTGAAAATTACACAGTCTTATAAATGATGAAACCTTAAAAAAAAACACCCCAAATCAAGACTAAACACAGCTGACTTATGCCACGCAACAAAGTTGAATATAAACATATGATACTAATGGACAAAAAAAAACAGTTGTAGGAATAAACAATCCTTTACACCATGTATTAAAATACTGAAAATCATAATAATGTTGACAAAACTTTACAAGAAACTGATAATATGTACTACTTGTGCTCAAAATAAATAACATGCATTCTACTTCTACAAACCAAGATTCTGATGATTCAGCATGATTTTGAGTCTGTTCAGCAGCAGTCTCTCCTAAATAATTCAACATTCAGACCTAAGCAATCAAATCACAAAGCTGTATAAACATACATCAGTGCACAGATCATGAAATTATTTTACGAGTTTGAGAAGTTAATTCTGTGACGCCCCGCTCTACTGGCATGAGCATCAAACAAAAGACGGTTAATGTCAAAGTAGTATGGATTTTCTACTTCCGTCAGTTCAGGGTCATAGCCCTGCATCAGCTCCTGATAATACGGATCACCCTGACCCATGTTGCAGGCCATGCAGTTTGGATTTTCAGAATTCAGATTGTTGTTGGTGGACGTGGTTGGCTGGTTACTTTCTGTGTGCTGATTGGCATCGTGTGAATTAGAGCGTATCCGCAAGTTGCGACATTGTAAATGTAGGTCATCTGACTCACTGGGATGAGTTTTTGGAAGACAAACCCTGCATAATATGAATGTATAACTGATTCATGGATGCATTTTTATGTGCAAAATGAAATAAGAAATAATTTTGAATATGAATTAGAGGTACATTTATAAAACTTACAGTATATCATGAAAGTGGTGTAGTGTAAATAATTAACAACTCACCCCATGTTCTGAGCAGGAAGTGCACTGTTTTGATTTGAAACTGATCTAAAATAGGGCAAATTATTAAATAAAAGAGATTTTTAAAACAGTAATTAAAAGTTAGATTAGGATATTTGATGATCTTAAAATAAAAACATTTTGAAATACAAAACGTGAAATGATTTTTTTTCAGTCAACAACCAAAGTTTCATACCAAGACTACAAAGAAATGTGTTACAGGAACTAAGAGCTCCAAGCAACTTCTCTTTGTTGACATGTTTTATAAAAATGTATGAATACCGTAATCAAAACAAGAGGCCCAAGGGCCTTAACGGTCACCTGAGTATAATACAACAATTTAGAGGATCCATAGAGTATAAAATGAACTGAAAGGTGAAGCTTTGTTGCCCAAAAGCAAGAAAAATAGGGTGATCAGGATCAACAACATAATTAGTCTAGTATTCATTAATAGTTCATAAATTAGGTTCTAATCTGTTCCCCATTTATCACTCTCACCAGACAGTATATACACAAACTATTAGTGCTTCTGTACTCTTTTAATTCCTTGTTGAAGTCTCTTACATTGGCCTCTCTTGGTCTTGGATGAACATTTAATAAGACAAGTTATTTTTGTCTCATTTTTATTTATCTATTACTTACAAGTCTACCTGATCATTAAAACTATGAAAGTACTTTTTGTATTATACAATAAAAATTCTTGCATAATTCTCTTATTCTAAATAAATAACCTTTCAAATACATTATTTACAGTGATTAATTATCACAAGTATATGGCAAAGGGGAATAACTCCTCTCAGTAGAATACAAATTAATAGAGCCCTGGCCTGGACTAGAACACTTGACCAAATGGTCCTGATGTTCAAAAATCTGGTAAAAATACCCTTCCTTATTAAAACTTTTACTCTTTTTGCCTCTGATATGCCCAGGTGCAGAGAGAAGATTTTTAAAGCATTTAATGCATTTTCACTATATAATAAATAGATCCCCGCCCTAACATCAGAACCTCTGATCCAGGGTCATGAAATTCACATTTTGGAAGAGGCATTCTTGCTTATCATAACCCTGTATTTGTTTAAATAATACCCAGGAGTAGAGAAGATTTTCAAAGAAATAATGCACTTTCACTATATGATCTATATAGCCCCGCCCTAGCACCAGAACCCCTGACCCTGGGGCCATGAATTTCACAATTTTGGTAGAGGGCTCAATGCTTATTACAATGATGCCAACTGTTTGACTGCTTGATGTCCAGGAGTAAAGAAGAAGATTTTTAAAGATTGCATTAATTTTGAGGGTTTTGGCCCCACCCCTCAGGCCCCAGGGGGGCAGGGGCCACAAATTTCACAATTTTTGTCCCCCTTCACCCATAGATGCTATATGCCAAAATTGGTTGAAATTGGTTTGCTGGTTCCAGAGAAGAAGTTGAAAATGTTCAAAAGTTTACGACCGACAAACGACGCACGACGACGGACAAAAAGAGATGGCAATAGGTCACCTAAGTAACTCAGGTGACCTAACAAAATTTAAAATCTTTTTAAATTTTTTTTATTATCTCAGAAATTCGCTTTAAAAAATCAGTGTAACTTGGTCTTGCTTCTAATTTGTTGTATGAATGACTATAAAATGAAACAACTAATTCTGATTGTTAATTAGATCAATTTAAAAAATATAGGTGAATAGAAATACATGACTTAATTGAATCTACACTACCTGAGGATGCTTTGATTTTTCAACAGTTTTCCTGTCTATTCCTATGTAAAACTTGATTGCCAATTTTGGCCCCACCTTACACCCCAAAGGTCACGATTTGAACAAATTTGAATCTACACTACCTGAGATAGCTTCCATATAAATATGAATATTTGAGGTATGACTTTGCTGTTCTTGAGGAGAAGATTTTTCCAAAGTATTCCTATGTAAATAAATTGTGATCGGCCATTGTGGCCCCACCCAATCCAAGGGGGCATGATTTTAACAAACTTGAATCTACACTACCTGACAATGCTTCCATATAAACATGACTGAGCATGGCTTTGCTTTTCTTGAGAAGAAGATTGTTAAGATTTTTCCTATGTATTCCTGTATAAAACTTTGATTGCCTATTGTTGCCCCGCCCTAGCCCAGAGGTCATGATTTGAAAAAAAAAAAAATAAATCTACACTATGTAAAGAAGCTTTCACATAAGTTTCATGTTTTCTGGCCCAGTGGTTATTCAGAAGAGGATATTTAAAAGATGCCATTAAATTATCAGTAATTCTGAATTATCTCCCCCTTAAAAGAGACATGGCCCTTCATTTGAACAAACTTAAATCCCCCCCACCCAAGGATGCTTTGTGACAAGTTTGGTTGATATTGGACCAGTGGTTCTTGAAAAGAAGTCAAAAATGTGAAAAGTTTACAGGTTTCACACAACAGATGCTGGACACCCTTTGATCAGAAAAGCTCACTTAAGATATTTTATAGCTTCAATGCAAGACTTAGAGACACATACCATTGCACATTAATGAATTATAGAACAGGTTTGCCTTTGATAAAAATATAATTCAATATGTAATATGTAAGAAGTTCAAACATTGAGAGACAGAAGTGGATCACTTCTATTTTGGATCTAAGTGGATTACTCTACCTGTGTCTGTTGATACATTAAGAGATAGGATTACATTCCACAGTCTATGGAGTATAGATAACTTGGTGAAGACTTAATCTACCTGTGTCTGTTGATACATTTAGAGACAGGATTACAGTCTATAGAATTCTATAGAGTATAGAAAATAGAGAACTTGGTGAAGACTTACTTTATCTGTAGGCTGTTGATACATTTAGATATGTGATTACATTCTACAGTCTAAAGAGTTCTATAGAGTATAGAGAACTTGGTGAAGACTTACTCTATCTGTAAGCTGTTGATACGTTTAGAGATGGGATTACATTCTACAGTCTATAGAGTTCTATAGAGTATAGAGAACTTGGTGAAGACTTACTCTATCTGTAGCCTGTTGATACGTTTAGAGATGGGATTACATTCTACAGTCTATAGAGTTCTATAGAGTATAGAGAACTTGATGAAGACTTACTCTATCTGTAGCCTGTTGATACGTTTAGAGATGGGATCACTACAGTCTATAGAGTTCTATAGAGTATAGAGAACTTGGTGAAGACTTACTCTATCTGTAGCCTGTTGATACGTTTAGAGATGGGATCACATTCTACAGTCTATAGAGTTCTATAGAGTACAGAGAACTTGGTGAAGACTTACTCTATCTGTAGTCTGTTGATACGTTTAGAGATGGGATTACATTCTACAGTCTATAGAGTTCTATAGAGTACAGAGAACTTGGTGAAGACTTACTCTATCTGTAGTCTGTTGATATGTTTAGAGATGGGATTACATTCTACAGTCTATAGAGTTCTATAGAGTATAGAGACCTTGGTGAAGACTTACTCTATCTGTAGTCTGTTGATACGTTTAGAGATGGGATTACATTCTACAGTCTATAGAGTTCTACAGAGTATACAGAACTTGGTGAAGACTAGTTGCAGAACTGTAGCTCTCTGCTTGAGAAAATTCGGACAGACAAAGCACAGAGCTACAGATCCAAGCGTTGTAAAAACCTTCGATTTACGCCGCTGCTTTTTTGTCGCTCGCTCTGACTATTGATTCTTGTATTTAATGCTTTCCCCTGCTTTAAAAGTGGTATCCAATAATTATCCATATATTTTACTCCTATTCCTGACACTTTATTTACCTTTCAACAGTTCCAGACAGCCGTAATATCAGTTTAAAAAATGCATTCCAACGTTGACGTTGGTGTCCTCCTGAAACAACACGCCCGAGTTTTATTTATCTTATTTCTTTTTTACATACATGTTGTATTCTAATCTTTATAGACAATATACATGATATTTAAACCTCCTGAAATTTTTATTTACATTTTCTTGACAAGTATATGTTCTTTGAATTACTTCTTTTCGCACAACCCCCAATAACATGGACGTCGGAATGGGAATTTTTTAAACCAACTTTCAAAACCATAAAGGGCTGTTTGAGACTGCTGAAAGGTAAATAAAGTATCAGGAATAGGAGTAAAATATATGGATAATTATTGGATACCACTTTTAAAGCAGGGGAAAGCATTAAATACAAGAAATAATAGCCGAAGCGAGCAACAAAAAAGCAGCGGCGTAAATCGAAGGTTTTTACAACGCTTGGATCTGTAGCTATCTGCTTTGTCTGTCCGAATTCTCTCAAGCAGAGAGCTACAGTTCTGCAGCTAGGTGAAGACTTACTCTATCTGTAATCTGTTGATACGTTTAGAGATGGGATTGCATTCTACAGTCTATAGAGTTCTATAGACTATAGAAAACTTGGTGAAGACTTACTCTATCTGTAGTCTGTTGATACGTTTAGAAATGGGATTGCACTCTTCACAATCATCACTCCTTGGTCTCTTTTTACCCCTAAAAAGACATTGCACATGTTATTAAAAAGGCATTACTAATTAATATGTACCCAAAATGTACTATACAATTCGGGTAGCTGCATTCCAACTGAATAGACAGTCATAAAGAAATAAATAAATAGCGTTTAATACTGAATACCCCTACAGCCAATTTCATCAATAGACAGCTACCACATATCCCATAGACACTATACATCTGTGAGCATGAATATACCCATATACTTATAGATATATACTTAAGCAAGGTAAAACAGCTTGAATTGAACATGTAATCGGGACCCAGTCAATCTGCACCAATTGGTGGCATCATCAGGAGACCTATGTCTTGGAGAATTCATATGACAAAGACAAACTGCAACAAAAAATCTGGGTAGGTGACTTCACCATGCATCGGACACATCTTGCTTCGGACAACTTTAATCAATAAGCTAGCATTCAATATGTAGCTCCAGTAGCTCAGTGATAGAGCACCTGCACAGTTCGCGGGAGGTCCTGGGTTCGAGTTCCAGTCTGGCTGGCATTTTTCTCCATCTGTTATAGTGTTTAGACTTGTTTTTGTCTTAAAGCCTGATTTAAGCCAAAATTTTAAACTTCTTAACAATGACGATTTTTATTATCATATGGTTATAAAAATACCACTAGAATGGCCTTGAAGTGACCATCAAAGGGTGAGTCATCAGGATATATGATTTTGAACATTTATAGAGTTGTAATGAAATGAGCTGATTTGGATGAGTTTTGTTAATAATTATTTCTGACATAGAAAATTTCAAGAAATATAACACAAAGTGTGCATTATTTTACTTCAAGGAATTTTTCCTAGTATGTCCATTTCATCATACATCAGACAAAAACTATTCATGTATTGGACATTGTCTGATGCATGGGTAATGAAATTCCTTTTTCAGATAGAAATAAATGTATAATACACAACTGAAAGCTTTTTGCAGAAATAAAAAAATAAAACTCAACACATTCAATGAAAATACAAGTAATCAACATTTGACAATTATAGAAATGGGCTCTCTTTATTTCTTTAAATTAGGTCTATGATAACCCCAAAGAGCAAGGCCCAGTTGCCATATGACGAGGCATTGCAAGACTTATCTAAAATGAAGTGATACATCTATATTTTATTTTATCTCTCCATATTTACTTTTTGTCAATCAATCAAATTAGAGTAATTTTTTTTAAAGAAGTAAAGAAATATTTTCATGTCACTAATTTACGTTTAACTATAAGCATTTAGGGTGTTTTTAAAGCCACTACGGTAAAGGTAGGACATTTTTTAAGTTAGTTAGAATAATCTAACTGTGTCTTAGGACAGGCCCTCACCACACTTAGAATGCTTCCCATATACCCACAATGTAGCAGAAAATTGCAGAATCGCTCCGAAACGATTTTGGAGAAAATAAATATTGAAAATAACTATCAAATTAATCATAACAAATCTTTTTGAGATTGTTGATACCTTTCACCCAAAAATTTAATCTATATAATGGAAGAATTCAACACTTTTTTTTAATGTTTTTTTAACTTGCTTCAAATTTACATGCCATATGTTGACGTTTGGAACCCTCTGGATTTTTCATAGTAAATGCACTGAATTTGAGGTATTGCCCATGTTTGCTTTGCTACACTGCCAATACATGGAACACATTCCATCATTAAACTGGGTCCTTAGGACATTTTAACAATAGAATATTCTATCTATTTTCAAGTTCAATATACAGTTTGTCTGATACATGGTGAATATTGTCCCTTCCATGGTGAATTCTGGTTCATTCCATAAAATTCATTTTTTTAATGATATTTTCTCGACAAATATAATATAATTGTATCACAAATTCATACTTTAATCACATAATACATGTTAAACTCCATTTTAATAGCGAGCACAGCGAGCGGCGCAGCGCCGCTCGTCACTGCAAGCTCTTAAAGCAACGCCTGGGCGAAGAGAAAATTCGGACCGTGCACATTGATCCCAACAAATTTTTTTCCGCAGTAACCTGTGGTCCCATAATGCTTTGCGAATTGCATCTCGCCGAAAACAACGTTCTCGCGGTAACAAGAAGTTCCAAGATAAATATAAACTCACCTTGATTTGATGGATATAGGCCTATATATAGTAGATAAATAGTAGATTACCTTCTCTATTAAAATTATCACTGTTCAGACTTCGTTTTGGTAATGCAACTTACAAGCGACGTCACGTGACGTCAGAGTCTAGACGTACTAAATGTCACGTGCGGTTTGAAGAGCCCGATCTAAATTAAAATTGAATATAGGTATCTGCACTCGCCCTAACGGTCGCACCGTCAACATATTAATATTCGATCGATAACTTTATCACTAGACTTAGTAAAAGTACAAGGCCATGGTGTCCAATGCATGGTAAACTCACTCATACAAATCATCCTGCAAGCCAATTTTTATGTCTAATATAACATTACTGTACAAATACTTTAACAGCCCCGCCCTTGGCTCTCTAACAGTTGTGCCAGTTTGTTAATACATGTAACACTAACAGTGTTATATATGATTATTTATCAATGATTTGACAAACAAGGACTTTTAACATTCTGCTGTATTGAATCCTTTTCATAAAAACACTTTAAAAATCATACCAGTTTCACTATTAATACGTTTGATTTAGTGTTGCTGTACTGAGTGCTTAATTTTGTTAGTTTCTTTCAACATTAAAACATCATTTTCTCAGTACACTGAGAAAATGAATAGTAAATATACCTCTCGGATGTCATATGCAGTAACTAAGTCTTCGGGGTTAAAAGATATAACAATTTTTTCCTCTAGAAAATAATTATTATCATAAATTGAGAGAGAGAATATTAACCGGATGTGCTGGGATGATTGCTAAACGTTCACTGGTCCGGGATTTCAAATGCTAAAATTTACATGAATTTATTCTTTAAAAAAAAAAACAACAACAACAACAACAAATCTTTGACAAATAAAAAAGGGGAAAGTAAGCAAATATAATGTCAAACTATATAGAGACATTTAAAAATAATAATAAAAATAATAATAATAATAATAAATCAATAAATAAAATATAATTTAGTCGGGATCGAAATTCTGACTTTCTAACACAACGACGAGGAAATTCGACCGAGAATCGGTGAAATGGAAATACAGTTTTCAGGAAAAAGAGCTCTTGTCACTGGTGCAGGAAAAGGTATGCAACATGTAATTTACAATTTCTTCCACGGGAATGTATTTTATTATAAATTTATAGCTTCGATAGTTATTTATTCCCAGCATATCTGGCATATCAGATTTATGAGATTATGCTCAATCATATATCATCCACGTATCCTAGAGTACCCATAAATCGTCCCCTTACGACATTCAACGTCATAGTAACGGCGAGCGCGTGCAAATTGATACACAAACTTCAGTGCGAGCTATAGAACGGAAATGCTGATTAAATGTTAAAATTCATTTTTTTCATATCACTCTTGACAAGATTTTTAGAGCTCTTCTACAAAATCAAACTTTTACACTTAAAATTGTCACCCATACCCTATTTTCGTCCTTCAGATATAAAAACGGACGCAAGCGATTGGTCCATTTGTTTTTCGTGATTTGTGATAAAAAAGGTGGAAAATCATTAAAATAAAAATTGTAAATAAAGTTCTTCTGTGCAAAAGGTATTTTTTTTTTTAAATATTCTTATCAATTTAAGAACATTCAATTGCTTTAGCTATTACCGACTCCGTTTTTTTTTTTTTTCAAGAAATAAGAATGTGCTTTCAGATTTACATTGTCAACGATGTCATTACAATACATGCTCATCAAATTACCTGATATGCGAATTATACAATGTTACATGTATATTTCAGATTTTCCCAAATTCATTTGCCTTACTGGAAAAAACCGATAGAAAATCAATATATTCGAACAGTGCAAGTCTGACCGACACAATCTGGAAAAATCAGAAAATTTTAATTTAATGGTTGGGGTTACGACTAGACTTGAAATTGATCACCTAATTATAATATGTAAAATATTTACGTTACAAGAAAAAAAAACTTTTTAACTACTGTGTAGTAGATGAGAAATTAATTAAAGATTGGCAGTAAAGATCTTGTTTTACTAGATTATCAATATGTCGTGAATTTCATACCCCAGTAGACGATCGCTGGATTAGTTATGCTTCAATGCACATGGCACCTGTGAAACTGGTAAAAATTGTGACAAAAATACACCTTCTTTGGTCGACTAAATAAAACTACTGTTTAATAAAATAAATTTTTGGTATATAAAAATGAAATATTCTCTTCTTAATTACTTGACTACTTTTCAACTTTTTTTTTGGGGGGGGGGGGAGGTATTGAACAGGACTGGCGACTGAGCAAGTGAGCTAGGTCAAAAGTAGATCTATTTAAACAATGTGATCATCGTTGCTTGGGTATGTTGAAAGATTGATTTTTTTAAGGGTGGAGGTGGGGGGTTATGATAAATTCTTACGTACGATAAATATTGATTTTATTTATTTGTCATTTTAATAACATATTCCTGGAGGAAAAAAAAATCTCGATTATATACAACTTATAAAAAACAAAAACAAACAAACAAAACACACACACACACAAAACACATACACACACCCTAATGAAAGAAAAAAGAAAAACACCAGCATGATATAAAATGTTTTAATTTTTGTAAGATCAACAGAAATTCTATTGTTGGAAGCATTCACAGTTATTAGTCAAAGTTTCTCATAAAATCTTTCATTTTTGGAGACTCTATCATTTGCAGTGATGACTTAGATTTTTTTTCTGAAATAATTTGTAATACCGTATAGTACGTCAACCAAACACAGGTAACGTCAATTTCTAGGTGGGAAGTATATAAGATCCTTATGATTTGGGAGCATTAAATTTTTGTTTTCAAATTCTTAAATTAAAAGCCCATGCACGTTATTCAATACATTGACAGGTATAAAATAATAAAATGAAGGTAAATTTGATCTGGAAGTGATTTTTGGGAACGTAACTGCCGTGTACACTTTCAATAAAAAATGGACCTAAGGAAAAACAGATAGTTCAAGGATTTTTATTTTTCTTTAACTTTACCACGAGTTTAAACTGCATATTCTAAAAAATAATTGCTAACACATTTGCATCATTGTGTTTACCAGTCATAACAATTAAAAGTGACGTCATCGATACATAGTTCGAAACGTGCTGCTGCGTCAAGTTTGAGGACGATTTTAGGGTACGGACGAATTTAGGGTATACGACGTTAATAAAAAAATCTTTGCCCGATGACAATTCCCAAATATATCATGTCATGTCGAATGGTTGATTTTCATAAAGAGGGTGCTTTTTCGGGCATAGAAACCAGATGGTGCTCTTAGGAAATGACATTAAAATCCTCCGTATAGTGTTAGATTGGTCACAGGCAAGAGGGAAAAAAACTTTGTTGTCCCGTTCCAGAGAAAAAGGAGTCCTCATCTCTTAGAGAGTGGATTGAAGATCTGGAGCAGTAATGTAGTAGTGTGTTATGCACAGCTTCCTAATAGCATGTTCTAGTGGGTTAACCTTTTAGCATGATCATAGAGCACTGGGATGCCAAACCAGAGCTCCCAGGTTCAAATCCAAGTGGTGACACATGAACTCTCTGGCAGATGATTGCCCTCAGAACTTTGCCTTACAGGTGTTGAACTCCCTTGTGTAATTTATTATTGGCTAACAGGGTTGTAAGTACAAGATTTCTTTTTTTGATGCTACACCCAATATTAAAAAAGTCAATCGAACCCCTTGCTTCTAGTTCTATATGAAATCTTTGAGCTTTCTCCTCTGTTCTTTCCATATGTGAGGAATGAATATGCTCAAGGAGATCCAAGTATTCATTCTAAATTATTTTATCAGTGCTTGAATTATCTCCCTTTAGTAATGATACATGTAATAGCAGAAATGTTCTTTATAATTTCCCAGGAATTGGAAGAGCTATTGCAAAGAAGCTTGCGGAATGTGGAGCAGAAACAATTGCTTTGAGTCGAACCAAGGCAGATCTGGATAATCTACAGAAAGAGGTGATTTCCGTATGAACTCTATACTTTGTATTCTAGTTTCATGGATAGGCAAAATTATGGGTACATGTATCTTGATGAAACATTACAGTGAGATAGTTGAGAGAATACCCAGTGTTGCAGTGAGGTATCAGTATTTTATTGTAGATTTCAGTACACATACTTTTTCTGCCACAGAAGGTGTTTAAAAATAATTTTTGTCAGTAGTTGTTCATAACGGCATTCATTGCCATTGAATTTAACGTTTATATATCCTGATGAGGGTATTTAATTGGTCAATTTACATTAGATTTTCTCCAAAGGTTCCCCAGATCCTTACTGTACAGTGTGACGTGGTGGACTATGAAGCCACACGGAAAGCTATCCTTGACCTTGGTCCAATCCATCTCCTGGTCAACAATGCCGGCATCTCACGAATAGGCAACTTCCTGGATTTCCCCATGAAAGATTTTGAAGAGTATGTATTATGAAGAATTATTTATAAAGTCTCAAGCCCAAAAAATGGTGCTAACATGTATTACACTATATTTTGTAAAAGCGGTACTGGTTTTAAAAAGCAAATTTGAATTTTTATTACGTAATAAATCAAACTTTGCAATTACATGTATTCCTTTGAAATGTATTCTTGACACATGTTTGAACTATCACTAAAACAATGCCTCACACTGCTCAACACGTTATCGGCAATTCGGTTGTTATCGGGCATTCGGTGCAAGAAAAGTGATGTTTAGAAAACGTAGGTGATTTTAAATTTCTTAATTCAACGATAATTGCGTACTCCAGCAAACAAAGTTTGTGATCTTTGGCAGATATATGATTATACTTTCAGCAGCAAAAAGCACAAACCAAATCACTCTCTTTCAAAAGATCTACAGCTCTTTCAAATGATATTTTATAAAAATTTCGGAATATGTCATCACATTTTAGCTTTTTTAGAAGTCAATTTCAGTTTTTTGTATTAAACAAAATAATTTATATATTCTATGGACAATCATACATCTGTAGATAAGCAGACTAAGATCAAAAATCCAAATTAAGGGTTAGTTAACAGGAATTTAAAATGTCTCGTTAGGTGAAAACATGTTATCGTCAACAAGGTTGATGTTGCCAGATAATTCGGTTTTTACGAGTGCACGTTATCAGAAACTCAGGTTAAAAAGTTTTCTTCAGCTTTAGAAATAGATTGGAAAAAAGTCCATTTTAATCTGTCAATCTTTGAAAATTTCAAACGCAATGTTTTTCAAGTAATTTTTGAAAATTTTCTAGCTGTTCATTGTTAGTTTTTTGATATACATGTATATAATTATAATTATGATTTTATAATAGAACCCCTTATCTGCTCAATCATTTTGCTGTTTTCCATTATTTAAAGATAGGCACTATTGGCTTTAGGCGGTTTCAGACGTAAATGTACATGTGTATAACAAATCTATAGTTTCTTTTGTTAGTCAGGTCTTATGATCTATTATGTCATTTTTGAAAAAAAAAATCATCACTTCAAGTGCCCAAATGAGCGAAAAGTTTGTTTTGTCCAATGCAGAGCAATTGCAATGTTTGTGTCAAACCATTTTAAGGTTTGAAACAGAGGAAATCGAATGAGGTGCAAATATACCGCAAAGAAATATATCTTTCTTGTTATAATTGGGTATGTAGTAGATTAAGGAGACTATCCTTGTACAAAAACATGGTTCAGTAAAAATAGATAAGTAAAAAAAAAAATTGACTTTAAAAAAACGTTGAACTCATTTCCCAAACGTGAAAAATACCTATTTGAGGGGAGGGGGGATGCTAGTCGATTCACTTCAATTCTTCACGTTTAACCTTTTTAACCTTTTCTACAAACAGTAATCTGCGTTTTCAATGGGGAAGGGGGTGTGCCAAAGTTTTTTTTTATTTACTTCACTATAAATATTCAATAACTCTGCAAATTCCAGGTGAGGTCCGAACCTCCCCGACACCCCCATCCTAAATCCAAATATGAGCTCCACCTACACATTGAATTGTCTACGGATTTTTCATTCAGCCGATAATGCAAAGAGCACACCGCGGGTGTGATCGGTCGACAGGGGATGATCCCTTCTTTGCCCCTGAACCTACATCTGATGTTGTTAGTGTTCAGTGTTTACTCTGCTCCAAATGTATACTGTATCAATAGACTTTTGAACTTGAATGAGTTATCTTTTTATTTCATTAAAAATAGTTTCTTTCCATCAGTAACGCTATTGTAAACTAGTTAAGTCAATTTTTTTCTCAAAAGTTGGAATTCTTGGCCATATTTGGTCCAACACCCTTTTGGAAAATTCATTTAACCACCCTTGAGTTTAGATTCTTTAATTGCTTTATACCGAAGTAATACATGTATATACTTAGTTCTAACAAAAGGAACAACAATGGTTAAGGGGAGATCAAAAATGCAAAGTCAAGGAATAAAAACGAAGCAAGGAAAACAGAGACAAAAGCGAAGAACAGTGCGTAACTGGAAGGCAACACACAGAAAACTAAGAGTAAATTACTGTGAATTCAGCAATTATTGCGATGCTTTTATACTGCGAATAATGCAATGTAAGAATCTCAATAAATAAATTTGGCATTTGTATTTTTGTTACAACAGAGATTTATAATTCAGAGAATTAACTTATACGATATTTTCAAACAAGTCAAGATCATACACATTTAAGTGATTATGAGAAATGCCAAAACATTCTTGATAAAAAAAAAACACTCCTTTTCTTAAAGTTACATATTTTAAAAAGAGACAAATGATATCCAAAAATTAGAATTGTGTTCCTCCCACTTTAAATATTTAGATTTATTGAAGATTTCTGTTGTTTCTTTAGATTTTTCCTAACCTATAACAACCTTTGTTTCCGATAACTGAAGCCGAAATTTCCGATAACAAAGTGAACCATTCAACCACATTTCCGATAACATCCTGAAAGTTAAAAAAGGGCTATTTTTACCCTTTAATTACATCTTTGCGAGATTCTGACGATGTCATATTGTGGACAATAATTAATGTGAGGTAAATATGAGGATTTTGAAGAGAGGAGCTATATGCAGCAATGCCAATTGGCCAAAAACTTGCAAAATATAATAAATTTGACTTTTTAAGTCTTCCCAAGACTTACGAATACTATAATAAGATATAATGGGGCTTTATTTTGTATCTGTATTCATTCTTGTTCACAAAAAGCACAATCAACATTCTCTGTTTCTATTTTTACAGTGTTTATTTGCAACAATTTACTAACCTGTCAAAATTTGTTATCCACCGAATGCCCGATAACAACCGAATAGCCGATAACGCATTGAGCAGTGTGTGCCTTGTCAAGTTATCTTGACTTTTTAAAGTGCTGTCCTCTGTCTAATTCACTGATCTGCTTTTCATGGATTCCTTGAATAACAACTGTGTAAAGGGAAATTTTTTTGCTCCCATTTAATTTTTGTCCCTTTTACCCTTGTGGTCAGTGTGTGAATTCAAAACAAGGCAAATTCAACAAAAAGTACCTGTAACAATTATTTGAATTTGTAAGAAAAATATTACACAATTTTTATGCCCCCATAATCTATAGTTTTTGGTCTGGCTGTCCATCTGTCTATTTGTTGGCAAAAACTTTAACCATGGCCAAAACTTTTAAACATTTGGTGCTAGGACTTTCATATATCACATGTGTGTTCCTTCTGACAAGATCTTTCTTTGGGTACCAAAATTTTTTACCTCCTGACCTTGACCTTAAGAGTTTGACCTACATTTGTAAAACTTTAATCTTGCCTATAACTTTTGAATGGTTGGTGGTAGGACTTTCATATTTCGCTTTTGTATTCCTTCTCACAAGATCTTAAGGGATTGGGGGGGGGGGGGGGGGGGGGGTGTTTACCAATATTTTTTACCTAATGACCTTGACATTGGAATATGACCTACTTTTGAATAAACTAACCTTGGCCATATTTTCTAAATGGTTGGCTCTAGGGCTTTCATATTTCGCCTGTGTATACCTTGTGACAAGACCTTTCTTTGGGTACCAACATTTTTGAACTCTTGACTTTGACCTTGGGGTTTGACCTACATTTGAATAAAAAAAAAATTAACCTTGGCCTTAATTGAGCTGCCATATGGGAGCAATTCAGCATTTCATAAACACATCTTTTTTTTTTATTTTCAGTGTTTATAATGTGAACACGAAGGCATTGTTTAACATTTCTCAGGTAAATGTCCTTTTTTTTAAATTTCAAACTATAATTTTTTTTTTAAAAATCTAACGGTAATTAATAAAATGGTATTAATATATTTGTTGTCTGTCTAGGCTAGACATGTGGTATTAATTTACTCAAGCACAACAAGTGTAACTTGGACCATCTGGATAATAAACAGACTTTCATACACAAACTTCAATTGCTTGGTAACTTTTGTGGATTGAGACTTGCTATAGGAATGGTCCACCTTGATCAGAAAAGTTGTCACATATATATATATGTTTATATACTATTCTAGGTTGTAGCTAAGGGTATGGTAGAAAGAGGACAAGGTGGCTCCATAGTAAATATTTCTAGTGTGGCATCTAGTCGGGCTCTCGATGATCATATTGCCTACTGTTCTAGTAAAGCTGCAGTGGACTCCATGACTAAAGTGATGGCCCTGGAGCTTGGAAAGCACAAGGTCTACACCATACTATGTCATTTTTATTTATTCTTCACCATATAAAAAAATATACAAGTAAACATAGGTACATCACCAGATTCATATATCTGTATATAAAAAACTTGTGAAGAATTTTGTTTTTGAGATTGTGTTAGTTTTCTTTTAGATCCGTGTAAATAGCGTAAACCCTACCGTAACCTGGACAGATATGGCAGTGTATGCATGGAGTGACCCAGCCAAATCAGCACCCATGTTAGCCAAAATCCCAATGGGAAAATTTGTAGGTAAGGAATCTCTAAAATACATGTAATGAATCAAAGTTTATTTAGAAATCATCAATACATCAAACTTTGACACAGACATGTATATAATATTGTTTAAATTTCTTAAAAGAGTGTATAAAGCACTTGCTCTTTTTTAATATAAAGTTTGACAGAATATATCTATTCTTTCAAAAGTTTATATCTTTATAGAGAAACCTTTTCCTTGATAGGTCTATTTATAGCCCTCATTGACACCATTAGTAAATCAAAGACCAAATGTTCAGCTGCATTTTCACTGTATAAGTATCCAGTAACCCAGGCCTGCATTTACACTGTATATGTATACAGGTGTTTATATGTATACTTGATAAGTCTGTTTATAGCCCTCAATGATATCATTGGTCAATCATGTTGGCCAAATGTTTAGCTGCATTTACCTGTATATGTATCCAGGTGTTTATATGTTTACAGAGGTAGAGGATGTGGTTAACACAGTTTTGTTTTTATTGAGTGACAAAAGTGCCATGACATCAGGACAACATATCGTACTGGACGGAGGGCTGTCTGTCTGGTGATCGTCATCTACCGTGGGACATTCATGGATGACCTTGAAAGTTCGACTTGTATTTACTAATCAGCACACCTGTTAGTAACCGGAAAAAGTTACGTGATTGACAGCACAAATTTACAGAATCATTGCAAGTAATTACATGTATGTTGATTGATGTTAATCATCAAAAGGAATTAAGGATGACATTGCCTCTCCATGATGATGGACCGTGATAGACTTGATCTTTTGTTATTTTGTTGAATATAATGATTGTTGAGAATAATGATCTTTGTTGATGATTGGTGTAATGATAACAAGTTCATATACATGTATATATAGTATATTTATTATGTATGCATAAAATAGTACAAGCCAAATATTTTGGGTTTTTTCATGGTTGAATGAGACAGTTATAAGTTTGTAATGGGAGAAAACTCTTCTGTTATTTTCTTTATCAATTAATTCAGTTTCATAATATATCAAAAGATATAAATTTTTAGAGTTTATATACAAATCAGATGAAGCACCCCATATTAGTACATTTGTATCTTTATATCTTCATCAAGTGGGGTATTTTGGATTGGCTGCACAGAAAATTGTTTGTCCATTTGAACTGAAGTCCACTTATGCTGCATTGGTATTTCACGAGTCTCTTAAGGGGCTGCTGGCTTCATTATGAAGCTCTGTAGATAATTTGTTGTGTGACTGTTATGATGCTGTAATCCTGTTGTACATGTATAAGATACTGTCATGCTGTATTATGAGGTATGGATACTTTTCCTGATATCTCTTAGAAGGCTTTCTGTTATGTGGTTAAATCAGATTCTCTGTCCTTTATGGAAGGTGAAGAACCTAGCTTCTCCAATATCCTTATGATCTGGTTAGAAAATACAACTATGACAGTGTAAAGAAAGTTAAAACTTGAGCACACAAAAATGATTTGTATCAAATCTCAGAAATTTAATCTTGTTTGTTGCATTGATTAAATCCACTGTTTCACACTCAAGTTTTAGAAGAAGTCCAAAATTTCAGGCATAGGTAATCCAGAGTTACAAAGTTTACCTCAGCATATGTTAGCTATAAGTAAGGCAAATCAAACCATATTTATTTCTGTGCATCCTGAGATACAAAATCCATGAAAGTTTGGTCTGGGTAAGATTTACACTTTCTTGGGAATCGATCTGCTCAAAAAATCTGTATGTTCACTACCCTGGAAAATGTAGATTTATATAGAAGCATGTCTGGTAGTGTGCACCCTAGATGCATCACCCCTGAGAGTTTGACCCTGGTAGGGATTATACTTGGTCACTATGTAGTAGACCTGCTCAAAAATCTTCAACCTGTTCAATTGTCCTGAAAATGTAGGTCAGATCCAGCATCTGAGGCAAGTCTGGAAGTGTACAGGCTTAAAGTTACTTCTGAATGAACCTTTTCAAAAAATTTAACCTGGTAATTATCCAGGATATGTGCTTCTGATACAGCAACTGAAACAACTCATGTAGTGTGCATCCCTATATGCATCTTCCATGTAAGTTTGGTCCAAGCGCAGGGACATTACCGGTAAATCTCATTCATCTGTCAATCTGTCCTTCTGTCACAAGAACTTTAACCTTGGTCATAATTTTGAATGAGAGAAGATAAGACTTTCATATTGCATTACCTGTGATAAGACCTTTCCACAAGTACTATCATTTTTTACCCTCTGACCTTGACCGTGAAGTTTGACCTACTCTTCAAACATTTTTAACATTGTTAATAACTTTTGAATGGGAGAAGATCCGGCTTTCATATTTCTCATGTTCCTTAGTATCTGTGACAACACCTTTCAAGGAATACTATCAATTTTTACCCCCTGACCTTGGCCTTGAAGTTTAACCTATTTTTCAAAATTTTTAACTTTGGCTGTAGCTTTTGCATCTGAAAAGAAATGGCTTTCATATTTTTACATGTGCATTACCTGTGAAAAGACCTTTCCCAATATAGGATGATTTTTGACCTCATAAACTTGACTTTACAAATTGACTTACTTTTCAGAAGTTTTGCTCCTGAAGAGACATGACTTTCATATCTTTCCTTTGCTGCATTACTTGTCACAAAACAGTTCAGAATGTTCTTTTGATTTTTGACCTCATGGCCTCAAGTTTCACTTTCAAGAACTTTAACCTTGGTTGTAACTTTTGCACCAGAACATATTGTTTTCAAAATTTAAAATATTTTTTGCATGATAGATAGACAAGCCAGGAAGGATTATAGACAACCAATACGACCCTAAAAGTGGGGGACTACAAAATTCTCTGAATTTGTTTGTAGTTTTTTGGGAATGAAACTGCTCCAAAAACTTTAACCTGTTCACTCATCTGGAAAACGTAGGTCAGATCCAGCATCCGACTTTAACCTGTTCACTCATCTGGAAAACGTAGGTCAGATCCAGCATCCGAAGCAAGACAGTGTGCATCCCTAAATGCATCATCCAAAGTTTGGTCACCATAGAGCTTATAGTTACTTAGTAATGAGACATGCTCCAAAAACTTTAAAAGCTTTGAAATAAATTAACCTGGTCGTTCTTATGGAAACTATTGGTTGAAAATGCAGCATCTGAAACCTGACTGATACAATGAAACATACATGATGCATCATCTATGCAACTCTGATCAAAATAGGGCAAACAATTACTTTGAGAGAAAACTGCTCCAAAAACTTTAACCTGGAATGCCGAGGGTATAGCATAATCTCCCTCGACTTTGTTGTGGTGAGCTAAAAAGTTTACTTTTGTGCATTTAATTTTGAATACAACTCGTTATTTATAAAGTATTGAAATAAATACAAGTATATGTTCCTACTTTTCTGGATTTGGAAGTCTGGGGACTACTGCTCCTCTCTGATATTGTCAACAAGTGTTTTCCACATGTAGTAGAGATCTGATCTATACCATATATGTCTGTTCTTAAAAAGTTTTCAACCAAAAGCAAGGCTCTCTGGAAATAGAAAAATATTTTTATTATTTATAGGGAGATGGGCATTTGTTTTACTTTAATTTGACTCAGAAAAGGCGGCTCTATGACTAAATATATATTCTTTATCACAGTTACATGTTATAAATATATACCATCAGAAGGTGGCCATCTGTTGACTCAAGACTCTGTGACAAAAGCTCTAACACTTTATCACAGTTACATGCCTGACAGGACTTGATGAACTCTGCAATCTGGGCATTTGTCAACAGATGACTGTTACCAGTAGCTACTGTGGACTTCACCAGATTTTCCTCTGTGCTCCAGTCCTCCACATTTCCACTCTCAAGCCTGGAGTTAGAGTGTCTGATGTATTATCTCATCATTCTTCACATGACATTGTGACATTACTGTAAACATATGATTTTATAAACTTTGGTTCTAAAAATTTTATTCCTGATATTTGACCATTTTGGAGTCACTGATCTTATCTAACAGGTGAAGTTTACTAGAATTTGGTTATTTTTGCTTGCCTTGAGAAACTGTCAGCATTTGCTCCACTGTGTCTGTCTGATGATAAGTTGCCGTTAACATTTTCATTGTCACCATCGTCATCATCATCCCAGCCTCCTCCTGCCTTACCAGGGATGTGAACCACTTCTACATACAACATAATAAAGAGATGACTAAATCATCATCATCATCCCAGTCTCCCCTGCCTTACCAGGGATGTGAACCACTTCTACATACAACATAATAAAGAGATGACTAAATCATCATCATCATCCCAGTCTCCCCCTGCCTTACCAGGGATGTGAACCACCTCTACATACAACATAATAAAGAGATGACTAAATCATCATCATCATCCCAGCCTCCTCCTGCCTTACCAGGGATGTGAACCACCTCTACATACAACATAATAAAGAGATGACTAAATCATCATCATCATCCCAGTCTCCCCTGCCTTACCAGGGATGTGAACCACTTCTACATACAACTAAATAAAGAGATGACTAAACTGTCAGAGATACATGCAGCATTGTATATCTGCAACAGAATTACTACAATTTGCTACTAGCAGTACATTTCTTCTTAAATAATTGATCACCATTTAGTTTTCTTATATTATTAAAGGTTCTGAATAATTGATCACTATTTAGTTTGTTATACATTTATTATTAAAGATTCTTAATAAAGTTGTACAATTATGACCATAGTCTTTGAAATGCTTAAAGGAATGAATGGTGTTAATGACATGATGCACAGTGACTAAGACAATTATGATGTCATAGTTCAAGCTCTATAATTGTTGCAGTGAATCATGTGAGTTGCTGATGTAAATGGGTACATACATGTAGCGGTGCATGATGGTAAAACCAAGGAAATCTTCCTATGTCCAGTTTGACCCTTGATCTTTGATCTTATGACCTCAAAATCAAGAAGTCATTTACTTCTTAAGGGGAACCAATGTACCAAGTAAAGTGTTCTAAATATTAAGCAGACAAATCTTCATATATGCCTACAGCAGTTTTTTTTTTTACCCTTGACCTTTGGCTTTGTAACTAAAAAATCAACAGGAGTCATCTACTTCCTAGGGGGAACCAGAGCACCAAGTTTGATGTCTGTCAAGCAAAGGGTTCTCAAGATATTGAACAGACAACATCTTCCTATGTCTAGAGTAGTTTTAACCTTGACCTTTGAATTTATCAATAGGGATCATATATGGGTGCCACTGTATCAAGTTTGATGTCTGTCTCAAGATGATGTCTCAAGATATAGAGGGGATAACACTTGGTCTACTGACCAATCAACAATCCAAGTAATTTGAATAGATGGAATGAAACTCTAGAGAATTTGCACAGCCAGCATTATGATATCTTAGTCATGTTCTAGCTGTCACAAGTCAAAACTACTATTTTGCAAGCAAAATATAATATCTTTATAAATATAGCCCTTCCAAAAAGAAAACAAGCACACATACATATTTAGAATATTATAAGACTGCTACAATATTAATTCATTATAAGCATTGTCTAACCTTTCCTCCTTGTGGAGGGTTGTATACCCTCACTGCTGTCCGGGGCTAAGCTAAAGGTGTGGTCCTCTGGTGGTTTATAAGACCCGGGGGTCTCCAAGGAGGATAAAACAGCTCTTTGGGGGTTCTCAGGTTCCTCAGTCAAGTGCTGAGCAAAGTCACTGATGTTTTGTAAAAAGGACTTTCCTATGCCAACTAAAATGTGATACAACTGTCTTAAACTGAATATTTGAGTACAAGTAAAGTGAAGTAAGCTTTATCAGTTTTCAGTATTGATTTTAAACTCTAGGGCTGCGCAATAATATCGATATTCCGGTACACTGTGATTCGTTAACAAAAAGTATCGTATTGCGGTACGTTTTTCCAGTACCAATATACCGGCAAAATGCTTGGGCTATAGATTTATAGAGTATAAAATACGAAATTTAAGATGTCAGAAACATTTTCAATCATGCCAAATAGTACTTAACAGTAAAGGTTTCTGTTGTATGGTTGCATTTAGTTGCCAAACTGAAGTAAAATCAACTAGAACTTTTTTGTTACAACAAATTTATAAAAGTTTTTTACACTCTGCTTATAAATGGAGGTTAATGAAAAAGGAAAAGAGCATTTTAACTGTTATTAAAAATATTGCAATACATATCGCAATACAGTTCCAAATATCGCAATATATCACAATACGAAATTCCCAACCGATACCAAGCCCTATTAAATTCAGTGGAAATATATGCAACGGGAATTGAAGTGTAGTGGATAAATTTCTGTTGTTCAAAATTTCTGCTACTAACTGTTCTTTGGCTTGCATTTAAATACATGTCATTTTTATTTATTGATTTGTTTCCTTTTATCAGCTACACTAAAGATAGGACCACAAAAATATCCTATCTTTGTAAATTTGATTAAAACATAAAAATCTATCAAAAATTCATAGATGTTAACATTTTTGTGATATTATTAAAACACAAATTCCAGTCAAAATATAAATGGACAGAAAGAACAGTGAAAGTAAAAACTGAATGTGCAGACACAGGTAATATGTTAGGTATCCCTAAAATGTACAACCTTTTTGGGGTGAAGGTGAATTTCCAAATCCTTCCATCTTTGATTTAGGTGCTCCCTGGTTCCCATAACCTGAATTCATTTATAGAAATTAACTGCACAGAAATAGGATAAATTTTTTTGCAAAAAAAAAAAACCCACTAAAATGTGTTTGCCATTATATAATTTACCAGAGGATGTTGATACTGGTGCACGTGAACTTGGCAAGTCTTCTGTATCAAATAAGACCTCCAACAGTTCCTGCGAAGAGATGTAGTCATGCAATTTAGTTAGAAACAAAACAAAAACTGCATACAGACTGGATCTGTTTGTGATTTATAAGAAGCCTTGAGTGGTGGCAAATATTTTTTTAACCTTTGTTCTTTTTCTGACAAGAAGATATGGAAAAAAGTGATAGTTTTAATTCCTGATGGCAAAGTAATGTGGTCTCATTAATTTTCTTTGGGATCAAATTTCATGGGTTTGGTAGAGTATACAACTTTGTTTAGATGTATTTTCATAGCTAACTACCTCCTCTTGTTCTTTCATTTGTAATATTTGTAGTTCATTGATCACCTAATTCCATGGTCTGGCTTAACCAGGAAAACAATTAACAAAACTTGGTGTTCACAAAAAATGTCAGATGAAACATCAGTACCAGTATATGAAACATTTACTTTAGAAACAGTTGTCTATCAACAAGGAATGCCAGGTGGGATATTACATTTGTAGACTTTCTAACATGCAGGTACTGTGTTATTTATTTAGTTTCCTGAAAGAGTGGTGTAAGATATATATTTAATACCTTTGCAGTTTTTCTAACAGCAAGGTATGGGATATTCCCATGTAGAGGGTCTGGAGGTCCGCTGTATTCTACAAGAAAAAAAAAATTACGTTATTAACAAAAAAAGAAACATGAACATGTTCAATTCCTTATAAGCTGTTATTCATCAAACTTTGCTATCCTTTAAAGCCTCTACTTTTTTCTATTTATTACAAATCAGTCTTATTAACATTTCCCCCTTCACTTGTTTTTGTGCTTCAGTGACCAAAAAAAAAATTAGAAAGGAGAGGAAAGATTTATAACCAGACTGATCATAAATTTTAACAGGTTTTAATTCTTAAAACCTACTTTTAGTTTCTGTTATTCCTTGAGAACACTTCATTAATCCTAGCTTAAACCTAGGATTTCCATGTGACAGGATGTGCTTCATCAACTTCATCACCTAAGGAAAAAGAACATATTTACACTGTTATAAAAAAACACTGTCCCAGGATGGATATTAGTTACAGGAAGACCCTGATAACCTTACCTTTAATTTAACATGACAGGAATTTTTGTTGAGTCTATCCACCAGATATTCCAGCATGGAGTCACTGTATCCATCAGACTCTAGTGTGATATCTGAAGATTGAGTCAAGAGACATCAAATTAAGACAAAGGGTATTCAAAACTAAAAAATCCTACTGGTATATCTAATAACATTATTTCATAATTTACACAAGAAACTTGTCTACATTGGAATTAACACTTCTAAGATATATTTGTTCAAGCCTGTTTCTATATCCATTCAGATCCTTCTGATGTGACTATATAATTCGAGGTCCATATCGCAGTACTGTAAACCTTTTAACTTTTATTTCCGTGCGAGAAATTTCGCGACCAACTTTAACTTGCAAATATATATATTAATCGTCACGAACCATTTAATTTTCTTTGTATGTGTAGAGAATGTTTCCTCTGTTGCAAAAATTAATCGTCGCGGATTGATTTCAAACTGACGAATCATGAATAAAAGATGACACGAATAATAGTTGGTTTACAGTAAGTGCTGGCACAAAAAAGATCCCTCACTTCTCAATGGCCGTTAGTACCAAGTACAGGCCTAAATTTTCTGACTTTCACCGCATCCCAACATCAGTGAAAGCGTTCTCAAAGGGATGTACAGCAAACAACCAAACAAGCTGAATCAACCAACAACAATAACAATACATTACACAGTTTATTATAATATTCAACACTGGTACCAATTTATATCTTTCTTTGAAGTTCAATAATGATTAAAAGAAAAAACAAAAAAAAGTAAAACTTGATCTGATCTAATCATGAGTCATGACCCTGACTGATTATGATGAGCATTAATGTATGTACATGTATAAATTATATATAGTGAAATATTCTTAGAAGAATTTTGTTCCATAACTAGATTTTTCCCACAAAAAGCAGGCACTCAAAAGGATACTGCTAATTTCTGTATAAAGGTTGCCTGGTATTGTTGCTTCATCATCTGATGTGGCCTTTAAAACAGTACTAATCTAAAATCAGATTGTACACATTAATAGAACATATTTGAACATTCCTTTTCCCTTCATAAACTAAAACTGAACTCTACTATCTGCAACAAGTTCATGAGACATTCAGGGTAAACACTAACTTTTCCAGTTAGGTAGTTCACACAGCATAATTGATCAATTCTAGTAGCCATTTTCTTGTTGCTATTCAAGTTACAGGCAGCAACTGGCCAAGTTGCAAGGGCATGTTAGGAAACAGGGAAGCTGCTTTTGGCAGCACACTCCAAGAAAATATGAAAGGAACCATGTAACTACGAAGTAGGATTCTGCTGTGATGTTAATTTATTACTACTGTTATCGTCATAATTCTTTTGATTTTGACGCCATTTTTCATATAAAACAGATTCTAATATATAAACCAGACCTGAACCGAAATCCAGAAAAATGGAACCGAAACTGAACCGAACAACTTGGAACGCGGTTTTTGGTTATTTCAGGGAACTGTGACAGCCCTATAACCCACCAATAGTCTGTCGGACCAGAAGTGTAACGTGTACCCCTGCGTTGGGTTCTCGGGGGATGAATTTTTCTCTTACTCTACCTGAGTTTATGATCTAATAATTTGACTATGTACAGTATAATAATTTTTCTTAAACCTATCTGGGTTTTTCTATTATATTTAATCAAAGAATATATAATGTGGGATGAATTCTTATGACTTGGTAACTGTTAGACTTAGCACCGTGTACCTTGCCCCAGGTTCCTATTGATAGCGGATACTAGGAGTTTCGTTCTTATACAGATCTACAGCCCCCAGTATCTCACCTCAATTCCCCGAGATTCTTATCACTGGTGCAAATCTATTTCTTTTATTTTCCCTTTCTCTTATCCGTTATTCTTACCCAAATATTTCTCCTGCTTCTACTTAACTGCAGCTCTGCATTCCCCAAAAGACTCTGAATCTCTGAATGCAGTCTTATTTATACCCTTTGGACTAGTCTACTTTAAGCTTAAGGGAGGACAGGTTATTCCATTCTAACCTTACATCTGGGTCTTCTTTGCATTTTCAGTTTCCAATAACCATTACAGAAGTATTAAGCATAAAAAATTTGGAAGACATGAAAAAGTTTTAAAAAGTAAGAAGTGAGTAGGGTTACTTTAGTGTTTTTCATACTTCAAAAAATGCAGGTTGATAGATAGAATGTTCTATCGTTAAAATGATAAATGTCCTACGGACCAGGTTTAACACTTTAGTTTAGTTGAAATAATACGCCAATCCAAATCAATGAAATAATGACAATATTTTAAATGAAACATTAAAATGTTTACATAATTTGCGCCTTCTAATTTTATTACTCTTCTGATGAACATGCCTACATCATGTACGTACATGGAGAGGATTAATCGAGCAATTTTAAAGCAGCTCTCACTGAAGCAAGTTTGGGAATTTCTTGCAAATTCTAAGAATTCAAAATACTCTGAAAGTTAAATTATACAAACACTGTTTTAAAAACTTTAAAATGTTATCCCATACCTTGCTCACAAAGGAAACTTTTTCAAACACTGTACTGACAGCTTCTGTCATGTCTCTAAAACGAAAGTAGATCTTGAACACATGTTGAACCCGATCGTAATTTTGATTATTTTGTTAAATGCAACTTGACCTATAATTAGTGTATTAGAAAACTTGTAAAAATTTAATGTTCAATTCTCTTTACAATTATTTTGTTTCAAAATATTTTTGTCATTCATTTCGGGCATATTTACAACATTCATTCTCATTTCTGAGTTATCCTCTCTTTGCGGACATTTCTCAACAGTTACATGAGTTTACGAAGCTTCTAGACTTGATTCTAGAGGCGTATTATAAATAGTAATGTTATGATATCATATATGAAATAACTAACTAAACCAAAATAATGGACATCTTTCGTTCAGCTGCATGAGCAGTGATGATTGTTAGAGTGAGACCTGGTGGAAATTTTAGCTGAATTTTGTTTTTGTTTGGGAGTATATCAAATGATCAAGAGAATGTCCTCAACAAAGCTTCAACTGTCCAGATATGTCCAGATGGTATGTATTTTGAAGGGTGATTTGGCATTTACGAAAGGAGAATGATCTAGGATATAATATTTATATGACTGTTAAGATAAACTGAGGGAACACAATTTATTTGCTTTTTTCACTTCTATAAGCATTTTAAAATATACTGTGGTAAATTTATCTTGTGAAAAAGAAAAATTATCTCGTGAAAATGAAATATTATCTTGTGAAAACAACTTATTATTTCGTGAAAACGACATAATATCTCGTTTTCACGAGATATTATCTTGTGAAAACAAATTAATATCTCGTGAAAATGAGATATGTCGTGAAAACGAGATATTATCTCGTTCTCACGAGATATTATCTCGTGAAAATGACTTATTATCTCATGAAAATGACATATCTCATGAAAACGACATATTATCTCATGAAAACAAGATATTTTCTCATGAAGACGACTTATTTTCAAGTTTTCACGATCTATAATCTCGTGTAAATGAGATATTGTGTTGCGAAAACGAGATATTATCTCATGAAAATTTATTTTCTCGTGAAAACGACATATTATTTCGTGAAAACAGCATATTTTCTCATTTTCACGAGATATTATGTCGTGAAAACAAGATATTATCTTGTGAAAATGTGGAATTATCTCATGTAATCTGATATTATCTTGCAAAGATTACTTTATATCTCATGAAAACAACTATTATCTTGTGAAAACGAGTTGTTATCTCGTGAAAAAGACATATTATCTCATGAAAACGACATATTATCTTGTGAAAACGACATATTATGTTGTGAAAAAACAAGAAATTACCTCATTAAAACAAGATATTTTCTTGTGAAAACGACATATTTCCTGTCAGAGCTTTACGTATTTAATAAGTCGTTTTCACGAGATAATAAGTAGTTTTCACGAGATAATATGTCATTTTCATAAGAAAATAAGTCATTTTTACGAGATAATATCTTGTTTTCACGATATAATATCTCATTTTCATGAGATAATAAGTCGTTTTCAAGAGATGTCGTTTTTACGAGATAATATGTCGTTTCCAAAGATATGTCGTTTTCACGAGATAATAAGTCGTTTTCATGAGATAAATTTTTCCTGGTATCTTTGAAAAAAAATAATAACTATCGGTACATGTCTTAAATTTACCACCGTACAAATGAGAAATTGGCATGTTTTTGTTTCTTTCTGTGCTGCCTCAAAAAAGAAATTATGAAAGGAAAAAAAAGTAATAGGTGGTGGTAAAAAACCAAATACATTTTAAAAAAACATCTTCACTAGCCAAGGGTTTTTGATCCCTACTCTCCTCACAAACGGATCAGAAACCCTTGGCTAGCGAAGATGTTAAAAAAAATTTTAAAAAAAGATTAGATCTAATACATTGAATTTATATACAGTAAAACTCGTTTAGTACGAACACGGATATGGCGAACTCATGGATATTGTGAATTTTTCTTGGATCCCCAGCTATATAAATTTAACGAATTTCTTATACGATAAAATGAATTACGGATATAGCGAAGTAATTTCACAGGTCTTTGTTATAACTTAGTTTTACTGTATATATACACTGTATATATATATACTAGGATCTCCCATGATTTGTGGTTGATGTGATTTTTATCCAACGAGTTGTGTGTTTTTTATCCCTGAGCCTTGGCAAGGGGATAAAAAACACACAACGAGTTGGATAAAAATCATATCTTACTACAAATCATTTCTTTTTATTCTTTTTATCCCATGTTTTATACATCACTATCAGTTTTATATAGGAATCCACTTTATTTTACTTCTTCACTCTCAAGCAAAACCCATTGTAACGTCACAGCAGTGGAATATGAAAAAAAATACCCAATGAATGATATTCACGGGATAAAAGGGTAAACATGCAATAAATATATTTATTATATAGTCTATTTATAGTCTCTATATAATCTATACAAACGCCATCTTCGCTGGCCAAGGGTTTCTGATACGCTACTCTCCTCATAAGGAGAGTAGCGTATCAGAAACTCTTGGCTAGCGAAGATGTACAAACGCAAACAGTTCATAACACTACATATTCACCGGAGGGTCGGTGCGTGTGCAGCGGCATTGTGACGTCACAATCAACACCTCAACCAACGTTGTAAACAATGGTTGCAATGGCCGGAGCCAGCTGTGTATCTGAGCTGGAAAAACATTAGCCAAGCCTATCCCAGGATTATTTTCTTAACATTACGATGTCTTACAAACAGCAAAAGGAAAACACAGAAGTTACAAGTTGTAATCTGGACATTTTTTTTATTTTTCTATTGAAAGAGGTTCGTTAATGAAAACGGTATAGTCATGCATGCTCCAATGTCTTATTTATTCAAATCCTGACTATATAATAAAACAATTATGGACTCTTTCGGTGGTGAATATGGTTTGTTATTCACCAGAAAAATATCAATATTGACCTCGGCTTCGCCTCGGTCAATATTGATATTTTTCTGGTGAATAACAAACCATATTCACCACCGAAAGAGTCCATAATTGTATAATATTATACATTTATTGCATGATTGCAAGGGAAATATGAAGATTTATTTAGCCAAGAAAAATCACATTCCCCTAGGGGAATATGATATTTCTTGGCTGAATAAATCTTCATGTTTCCCGAACATTCATGCAATGAATAGTTTATTATTCCAAAACAAGCAAAAACTTTAAAAATAAACACAAAATTTCAAGTTCGGCACTGCTCTCAAATTCAATTTTAACGTAAAGTTACTGAAAACACTTCAGCACTTCTGTGACATGAACTAGGCTATTGTGATCTCTACTACTCTTGGGAGTTTTCGTTCAGCGAAACGTGGGAAAATGCACTAGGTCTCTGAAGAGGTTGAATATGATGAAAAGCATTGCAATGACAGGGAAATATGAAGTTTTATGGCCCTGTCACGTGATAATCTAGAACCAATCAGATAAAGCGTTTTATAGAATTATAATAATGAGGTATAATATATATATATATATATATATATATATATATATATATATATATATATATATATATATATATAAATATATATATATATATATATATATATATATATATATATATGTTATTATTATAATATATAAATATTAAGATAGAAAGCACAAAGAAATTCACTTTTATAAGGATACCCACTTCCACCCCAGCCCAGGGTTGAACTCATGACCTACGGAATCTGTCTCCTAGCAGTACAGGAACAGTGCACTAGACCTATAGGCTATCTAGGCAAGTCAAAAAACTTGCTTTCGATACCAATGGAATTCTCGCGGCGCTGCCCTACACTACACGGTAATTGAGAGTGGAAGTGATAAACAGTTATTTGGACATTAGTTTTATTAGAGTATCATTACCAATACACGTTGTAATGAAATTAATTTTTATTTATAAAGCACATTTTACAACAACACTTTAATTAACATAACTGCCCCAAGTGAAGAAGTATTAATATGGAAAGCACAAAGAAATTCTTTTTTATACCCACTTCTGCCCCAGCCCGGGGTTGAACTCTCGACCTACAGAATCTGTCTCCTAGTAGTACAGTAACAGCACGCTAGACCGCTTGGCTATCTAGGCAAGTCAAAAAACTTGCTTTCGATGCCTATGGAATTTTCGCAGCGCTGCCCAACACTACATGATCATTGAGACTTATAAAAGTGAATTTATTCCTTGATAAATTTATTCTTAATTGTAGTGCATGAGGAATGGATAACTCGGTAACTAAAAGAAAATGAAATGCAGTATCGAATTTATACTTTGAACGTCATTTCTGAACAAATTAAAAAACTCCACAAACTACATTTTAACTTTATAATATTAGTGGACAAAAATTATTGAAAATGTTCCCATTTTTCTGGGACAACCCTCGTACATTTAAAATCTCTTAACGGTCCTTTCAAGTATTCAAGACGTGCTCATGATTTGACGACTCTAAGTGTCATTATGCGATTGTAAGTACTCGTGTAAATTAAGGAATCTATAGTACACCCTGAGGTATATATATGTCTACAATATATTCAGTGGAACCTTGGTATATGTCTACAATATATTCAGTGTAGTGGTGTTCCAATCATCGATTATAATCGATAATCAGTTGATTGCTGGCATAATCAAAGTGCATGATTGCAAAATTTTTATTAATCGGTTTAATTATTTTTTAAAACTGTAATAGTTTTTAAGCCGAATATTCCAGCCGCAACTCATCTATTAACTTATTTGTATATTGTAATGGCACAGATGAACAGACAATACTGTATCCATTACCGAGTAACATAGCACGTTCCCGGGTATGGACATAAGTTTTATATCTGTTCAATGTATGAAGAAAAAGAAAAACAGATACACTCAATAAAACACTCAGATGATATCCATTTATTCCTTTTCAGCAAACTAATCAACAAATATATATGCAGAAAGTAGTCATTTACCCATTCTTAATGGGTAATCATTAATTAACTAAATTGATAGACTTTGTACATGTCCGATTATAATTGATAAATAGTCAGTTACAGTAACCTGATCGTCAATTATGAAATTATTTCCGATTCCCATCACTAATTCAGTGGAACCTTGGTAATCTGTATGCCAATAGTCTGGATGCTTCACGTTCCAGGTGAAATTTTGGGGGACAGAACTTACATTTATATCTACCAATTATAAAAGCTATGGTTGAGTAATCCTGATGCTTCATTTATCAGGACAATTAGTTTGGGAACACACATATCTCGATTAATAAGGCTTGACTATATAAGTGAAACATTTTTTCAGGTTCTGGAGAATGAATTGAAGGAGACAACAAAAGCCTTTGAAGAGGATGACATCAGAGCATTGTTGAAAACTGACAGCAAACCCTTAAGTCCAAGGGAGACAATCATTGGATACCCATCCTATCCACTTTACAGAGAGATTGGCAATATGCTACAGCAATGGATGGAGAATAAGTAATTATGTTTTATATACTCTAATACAGTCAAAGACCAATATATCTTGTCCCAGCTAGGACTGACAAATTTAAGATGTTGCTAGGGGGGATCAAGGTCTTGAATTTATAAGATAAAGATTACTTATAATCTCAGCTATTTTTGCACGCCGGTCGAATACGTGATGTAAGGATTTTCGGACCTGTCCTTGATATGGGGTATTGTGATGTCACCCGTATCACACAGTGGAGAATTGGTGTATTTACTACTAAGTATATGATAATTACTAATAAACAGAGAGTCCTCACCAAATTTTGAAATGAGCTAATCCAGAGCTCCAGTCCCATGTGGGACTGAGTTGGTCTGAGCCAGATAAATAGTACTCAAGTGACTGTCAAGGTCCAAAGGTCTCGTTTGATTATTTACAGAATGTATATGATATAAAATTAATTGTACAATTGTATCATATAACACATTATCCTTTGGCTGTGGGCAACTTTTTATGGCCTTGCTGTTTTTGAGAATTTTTTTGAGAAACAAATTCCAATACATTCCACTCTCATTAAAACCAGATCTATGATTTGCTCTGAAATTCTGATATAGTTACTATACACGTAGAAATTTGGAGTGAAACAAAGACCTGATTTTAATCAGATTGAATACATTCCCATGTAAAACTTTGATTCACTATTGTGGTCCAACCCTTCCTCAAGGAGCCATGATTCAAAAATACTTGAATATGTGAGTTGTTTTTTTTTTTGAGCAGACTGGATGTTTTATGTACTATACCCATAATGCTCACAGGTTATTTGGTGTGTATAGGATTTCACTGGTTTCATATGAAAAGGTCTGAATTTTAGACACATAATGTTTTGGGCAAATCTGAATAGCACCAGAGTGTTGGAAAGAGTTTATCATATATGGGATTCAAAAAAAATTGTTTCTTATGTTACTAAATAAGTACCCCACTAAATTAATTAGCTGATATATCATCCCAAACCTTGCTTTCTAAGGTAAAGTAACTTATCTTTGAAATACAGTCAAACCTTATCTCAAACTCGATGGGACAGAGAAAAAAACTTCCAAGATATTTAGTGAGTTGAGATATTAAGGTTAAAGAACACAAAGAAAAACTGGAAGGGAATTCTAACTCACTTCAACATATGAACCTCCAACATATCCATGGTGTTCAAGATGTTGAAGTCCAACTGTAAATACATGCATATTGTATCAGTGAGTTTCTTGTTCATAATGCTTTTGTAATTTGTAAAGGAATTTAATTTTAGGGATAATACTTTTATTTGTCATAATTATATAGTTACTTAGTTTACTGACTTTATCCATTTTTCTCATAGATATTGTCCAGTTTTAGATCTACCTAAATATGATCTTTTGGATGAAAAATCCTACACTCAGGCAAGGTAAGTTAATTAGCTTTCAACAATTAAAAAAAAATTAATATAAAATGAGTCAAAAATCATGTAAATTTAATTAATATTTTTGCTATAATATGCTCACCATTCTTTGGTTGTTTACAGAGAAGCCAATTTCAAAACTATCACCCCATTGTTGGAGGGCCTACAGAGCCTATGGGAACTGTGGAGTGAGGAGGAAATTGCACACAGAGTCAAAGATATACTTATAGTAAGTTTCACAGTCAGTTTGATAGTGGTATATGATATATATATATATATATATATATATATATATATATATATATATATATATATATATATATATATATATATATATATATATATATATATATATGTCCAACAAATGATAAATTCTAAGATTTCTGTCTAAATCAATTTAGAACGAGTAATTAAGTGCTTTTCTTTCAAAGGTCATTATGTTATGTGTTCTATAAAGACTGTCTGAAAAGTTTAGGGAAGATTTATCAGTTCATAATGTCATGCTTGGAAATAGTTCTATAACCAGTAATGAGCTCTCAATGAAACATCCTGACAAAAGCAATTTCTTTAACAATTGCCATGGACAAATATATACCAAAGATATACATCGTAGTCAATAAGATTATGTCTAGATGGAAAAGTTCATCATCCATCTCTAAAGATGATCTATTAATTTTCCTGAAATGACAAGAAACAAATGGTATTGATGAATTTCATCTTTTCATTTATTGTAATGTTATTTTGATCTCCCAATGCAATTTTAGGTCACCTGAGTCACTCAGGTGACCTATTGCTATCTCTTTTCATCCGTCGTCATCCGTCGGTCGTAAACTTTTGAACATTTTCAGCTTCTTCTCTGGAACCAGCAAACCAATTTCAACCAATTTTGGCATATAGCATCTATGGGTGAAGGGGAACAAAAATTGTGAAATTCATGCCCCTGCCCCCCTGGGGCCTGAGGGGTGGGGCCAAAACCATCAAAATTAATGCAATCTTTAAAAATCTTCTTCTTTACTCCTGGACATCAAGCAGTCAAACAGTTGGCATGATTGTAATAAGCATTGAGCCCTGTACCAAAATTGTGAAATTCATGGCCCCAGGGTCAGGGGTTCTGGTGCTAGGGCGGGGCTATATAGATCGTATAGTGAAAGTGCATTATATCTTTGAAAATCTTCTTCTCTACTCCTGGGTATTATTGAAACAAATTGAATACATAGTTATGATAAGCAAGAGTGACTCTACCAAAATTATGAAATTCATAGCCCCAGGGTCAGGGGTTCTGGTGCTAGGGCGGGGCTATATAGATCATATAGTGAAAGTGCATTATTTCTTAAAAAATCTTCTTCTTTACTCCTGGGTATTATTGAAACAAATTGAATACATAGTTATGATAAGCAAGGGTGACTCTACCAAAATTGTGAAATTCATGGCCCCAGGGTAAGGAGTTCTGGTGCTAGGGTGGGACTATATAGATCATATAGTGAAAGTGCATTATTTCTTTGAAAATCTTCTTCTCTACTCCTGGGTATTATTTAAACAAATTAAATACATAGTTATGATAAGCAAGAGTGACTCTACCAAAAATGTGAAATTCATGGCCCCAGGATCAGAGGTCCGGTGCTAGGGCGGGGCTATATTGATCATATAATGAAAGTGCATTATTTCTTTGAAAATCTTCTTCTCTACTCCTGTGTATTATTTAAACAAATTAAATACATAGTTATGATAAGCAAGAGTGACTCTACCAAAATTGTGAAATTCATGGCCCCAGGGTCAGGGGTTCTGGTGCTAGGGCGGGGCTATATAGATCGTATAATGAAAGTGCATTATTTCTTTGAAAATCTTCTTCTCTACTCCTGGGTATTATTTAAACAAATTAAATACATAGCTATGATAAGCAAGGGTGACTCTACCAAAATTGTGAAATTCATAGCCCCAGGGTCAGGGGTTCTGGTGCTAGGGCGGGGCTATATAGATCATATAGTGAAAGTGCATTATTCTTTGAAAATCTTCTTCTCTTCTCCTGGGTATTATTTAAACAAATACATGGTTATGATAAGCAAGGTTGCCTCTTCCAAAATTGTGAATTTCATGACCACTTGATCAGAGGTTCTGATATTAGGGCCGGGCTCTATTTATTATATAGTGAAAATGCATTAATGCTTTAAAAATCTTCTCTGCACCTGGGCATATCAGAGGCAAAAAGAGTAAAAGTTTTAATAAGGAAGGGTATTTTTACCAGATTTTTGAACATCAGAACCATTTGATCAAGAGTTCTGGTCCAGGCCAGGGCTCTATTAATTTGTATTCTACTGAGAGGAGTTATTTTAGGAATGACTCTAATTCTTGGCCAAATTATTCGAGTATAACCTGGTTTGGGTCAGTTTACGCTTTATAATCCGCAAAGCGGATTATAAAACAGCGTAAACTGACCCAAACCAGGTTATACTCGAATAATTTGGCCAAGAATTAGAGTCATTCCTTATAATTTAATTCTAAAATCATTAAACAACTGTGGGTGTAAAATTTCGTTGCTTTTTATTAGTTCAAATTTGCCGCTCAATAATACAACCCTAGTAACGGAAGTGATGGGAAGCAAGGGGAGGTAAAAACTGATACATAGTCCTAGCAGCCATGTTTTTTGTTTGCATGTGGTAAGATCCGAGTTATTGTTTGAAGCTAAAGGTACATTTATTAAATCTGGAATTTTCCATGAATCCCGAGGACTGGAAATGAGAGCATTGCATGGATACAGACGATTCAGCTGGTTGTCAGGGGGTGTGTCCCCATACCAAACCAGGTTATACAGAAATAATTTGTGTTCCTTTTTGGATATTAACCAATCAGAGGCTAGAATACAAACAAAATTAAATTATTCCCCTTTGCCATTTACTTGTGATAATTAATCACTGTAAATAATGTACTTGAAAGGTTAATAGAGTAAGAGAATTATGCAAGAATTTTTATTGTATAATACAAAAAGTACTTTCATAGTTTTAATGATCAGGTAGACTTGTAAGTAACAGATAAATAAAAATGAGACAAAAATAACTTGTCTTATTAAATGTTCATCAAAGAACAAGAGAGGCCAATGAAAGAGATTTCAACAAGGAATTAAAAGAGTACAGAAGCACTGATTTTAGTTTGTTTATGTACTGTCTGGTGAGAGTGATAAATGGGGAACAGATTAGAACCTAATTTATGTACTGTTAATGAACACTAGACTAATTATTTTGTTGATCCTGATCACCCTATTTTTCTTGCTTTTGGGCAACAAAGCTTCACCTTTCAGTTCATTTTATACTCTATGGATCCTCTAAATTGTTGTATTATACTCAGGTGACCGTTAAGGCCCTTGGGCCTCTTGTTAGCTCACCTGAGCCGAAGGTCTGTCATCGTTGGCATTGTTGTCATCGTAAATTTTTATTAATTTCGTCTTCTTCTCCAGAACCACTTGATCAATTTCAACCAAACTTGGCACAAAGTATCCTTGGGTAAAGGGGATTCAAGTTTGTTCAAATGAAGGGCCACACCCTCTTCCAAGGGGAGATAATTGAGAAAAAGTAAAAATTGGGTTGGGTCATTTAAAAAACTTCTTATCAAGAACCACTGGGCCAGAAAAAATGAAACTTACGTGAAAGCTTCTTGACATAGTGTAGATTCAAGTTTGTTCAAATCATGACCCCATGGGGTTGGGTGTGGTCACTATGGCCGATCAAAGTTTTACATGGGTGTACGAGGGTTGTCCCAAAAAGTTGTAGACAATGTTTATAACTTTGTAAACATTCAACCAATACTAACCAAATTTTGTATAGCCATTATTTATTCAATGTTCCCTCAAAATAGCAAATTCTTAAATAAACATCTTTCATAATAATAATAATGTCTAGAGTAAAAACATGTACATGTACTTAGTACCGTATATCTGGCACTTTATTTCTAGCTAGGATAAGTTTTATATCTTCATTTTTTTATGTTACATTGATGATCACTGATACAATAAAGTGTTCAGATCATGAATATACTTGGAAATATATTTTCTGTACCCTTTATTGTAGATTCTGGGGAAGAGAGGCATGCTTGATTTATTGGGGGTGAGAAAGACAGTGGGGACTCAAGAAATCTGGCCGGCCAGTCGAGAGCTACTGGAAAGATCCTTCACAGTAAAGCACAGGTACATGCAATTCAGTTAGTGTGGGAATTACTGTATTTTTACCCTGTATCATTTTCACCCTGTCAGACTTACAAATGATTTCACCCTATTTTAAATTTGTCCAGGCAAAGTTGTGTTAAAAGAGAAATAACTGTCTCTTTTGACTTTGCCCATTTTGAATTTGCCAACTGTGAACCAAGGCAAAGGGGGCAAAAATAAAATAGGGTGAAAGTTCCCCTGTATACAATACTTCTTTCCAGAAATTTTGACTTTCTGACTTTCATCTCTCCAAGAAACAAATATCATTCTGTATAAATTCTCTGTAAGTTATTTAATATTTCATGTTAATTCCACTTTTATTATTTTTTTGGTTTAGTCCCAATGCAGAGATCAGTGTTGGAGCCAGAGCACTGTCCAAACACTTCCATAGAGACAACTCAACCTCTTGGTGGGGAGGCTGTACAGGAAGTAAGTCCTCTCTCTCTCTCTCTCTCGACAAGTATAATACAATGATGTAATTCTAAAGTAGATTTAAGTTTTGAATTACTCAGCAATTAAATGCAAACAAAACTCATGGCGAAGCAATGATTTGTCAAACCTAATCTGAACAAGAGACCCAGGCATCACCTCACCTTATCATTGAAAAAAATCAGAACCCTTCAAAAGAAATCTTGTAAACTATCTTAATATACTGTAGAGATATTTTTCCCCATAATTAATTTCTGCTATGTACATTTGTCACAGCATACTTTAAATGCAAAAGAATATATAATGACACTCTAAGAAATCTGTGTAATTTTCCACTCACGGATTAAACATGAATTGTGACTCTACAATGACTCCAGGGAAAAAAGTATGTCTACAGTACAGGTATGTGAATTTTTAGCTCCACTGGTCAGAGAACAGAAGACCTTAATGCCATAGTAAGGTGTCTGTCATCCGTCCGTCTAGCTGTATGTCTGTATACAATTTTTCAAAATGCTACTTCTCCTACAGTTTTGGTTTTCATTATTACTTGGTACATAAGTAGAATACACTAAGATACAGAATTCTATATATCAGTTTTTAATTTCAATGAATGGTGTTGCCATAGTTACTAGAAATAGAAAATTCTAAGAAATTCTTTCAAAACACTACTCCTACAGTTCAAGTCTGATTTCAATATAACTTGATACACAAGAAGACTACAGTAAGATACACTGATTTTTGATTCCAAAGAATGGTGTTGCCATGGTTACAAAAAATAGATATTTCTGTGAAATTCTTTCAAAATTCCTCTTAGAGTTTTAGTCTGATTTCAAATAATCTGGTACACAAGTAGACTATACTAAGATACATAATTCTATATATTGATTTTTTTATTATTTCAATGAAAGGTGTTGTCATGGTTACTATAAAAATAAATTTTTTTGTTAAATTCTTTCAAAATGTACTCCTCAAAAAGTTTAAGTCAGATTTCAGTATATCTTGATACAGATATAGATTACACTAATAAACATAATTCTGAGTATCAGTTTTTGATTTCAATGAACGGGGTTGTCTTGGTTACTAAAAATAGAAATTTCTGTGAAATTCTTTCCAAATGCTATGCCTACTACAGTTTTTGTCCAATTGCAAGTAAAATTTTCTCAGAAAGAGACTAAAGCAAGGATCATTACTTTATTTATTGCTGTTTTCATAGTTTCAAGTCTTAGTTTTACCTTTCTCTACCTTTGTTAATTAATTAAAAACCAGTAGAGCTACAGTATTGTCAGAGACTTCTGGTTTGTCATTTCAGCTGAAAAACAGAAGAATGAGTATGCATTGTCCATAGTGAATAAAATTTTAGACACCGCAACCTGGATTAACATTCACTGGTTACCAGTAAGTACATACAAATATAGATGTTTTAAAAAGGTGTCTGTATAATTTTGTATGATGGAATAGTAAATTTCATTGTCGCAAACCACGACCAAAATGTACGATCCTCTCCCATTCTGGCCATGGTTGAATAAGAATAGAATATTTCGCATCTCATTAAAATATTGACCAATGCAAGTAAAGCATAGTCGGATGATGAACTTTAATGCGACCTTTCAATACCCAATCACAGTATATGAAACATTTCTTGTATACTGTTTATGTCAGTTGTTGATTTCAGTTGCGATGGAAACAAATATTGTCATTGGCTGAATATGATGTCACAACATAGAGGCAAAAATATTCAAGATTATGACACTTTTTGTAATCAAGCAGCCACGGGTAGGAAAGAGCTATATGGCTATATATACGGACCGTGGCTTGAGACAATGAGTAAATTTGCACATAATATAAAGGTAAGAAAACATAAGTTGATATTTAAATCTTTTTCTTTTGTAGCATGATGTTTACATACTAGAAGTCAGACAGGAAGAAGGTAAGATTCTCATCAAGCAGCATTTTTTTCCAAGGTCATCTGACCTATTCATCAGTATTTGTCTTTCACCATTTCTCTGTGCGTTTTCTTTTGAGCATCATTCTAAACTTTCAAGCATTTTCAACCTCTTTTCCAAAACTGCTGAACTGAAAATAATTTTAGATCATGGCATCTAAAGGTAAAAGGAAACAGTTCTTTCAAAATTCTACACGGATCACAAGTTCTGGTCTGATTTTAGCAAAATTTGGTACACAAATAGAACAAATAGACTCCAACATACATAATCTAATTTTCAAAATACATAATTTTGTGTGCCATATTTCTATTTCAATATTAAAGGTATTGCCTTGTTTATAAAAATTGCATCAGTAACTAAGTTGTAATTGTGATATATAATGATGTTTCCTTGATGAACTCTCTAAGAAGAAAATAGTGACATTTAAATCACTGGGGTCAAGATTTCATTAGGCTGCAGGGTGAGATAAATTAATCATATACATGTACTAAAAATACAGCCTATCTTTGAAAGCTTTTTTAACTTGTTAACTTGTCTACCAGAATTCTTTTTTTTTTTTCAAAATAATCAAATTTTGAAATTTATTTCCTCTTGTCAATGATTAAGGATTCAGGGTGGGGCTAAATTGATCAAATATTGGAAAAATTCTAAATGTTTAAAGACTTCTTCTCTACTTCTGGATATTTATCCAACAGACTTCATGCATTTGGTAATAAGCAAGATTTTTTTTTTTCCAAAATTATGTTTTTCATATCCCCAAGATTTAGACTCTGGGCCTTAGGTTTGAGCTTGGCTATCTTTTGATAGTCAGATGACTGTGAAGGCCTATGAGCTTCTTGTTTTCTTAAATACATTTTGTTTAATGTAGATTGTAAGCAAAGCGTGCAAGTCAAACAAATTCAATTTCATCTTGTCATTATTCTCCACCATTGTATGCTGCTTTTATAAACATAAAGGAAGAGTGATTTATGTGGAATAATTATGCATCACGAGCATCAAACTTATTTGTCAGTTAAGGGTATACTTTATTATTATTCATGGTTTCTTCTTGCCTATCTAATGACTCCCCATATTGGTCGTATATCAATGAACATGAATTCAGGGACTGCATATTGTTATGTCTGACCAGTTATTGGAAATCAGAGAATTTAGGAGGAAATAAATTTGTTATTTGGTGAATCAATTCCATTATTAACAAAACAATTTATGGGTATGCTGCGAACTATGTGTCAATATTGGGAGTTAGGACTCATTAGTTTTTAGATGAAGTTTTCTTTGTAAAGGCTTTTCTTGGCAGTATTTGCACTAGTTTACTGTGTATTATGGAAATCAATGTATAGAATACAATACAATGTTTAGGAAAAATATCACAGTATATCAGGACATAATGCTCTTCTGAAATAAAAATTTTGTTTTTTACTATATACTGATAATTTTTTCTAAATTCAATTGCTTCCTAATTTTGTGGATTTTTGGGTTTGTTTGATCTCCTTAGGCCATAATGCAAACTATGTGCAATGATTTGCAAGGGATAGACACAACTGTAGAAGCAAGAAGCCCATGGGCCATAATGCTCACCTGAGGCACCTTGGCACTGCTGTTCTTCATCAGATTTTATAAAGAAATTTCATTTCTTTATTCCCTATGAAAAATTTTGACCTCAAATTGTGGCCCCACTATAGCCCCAACGTGTTATGAATTAATTGAACTTGAATCCACACAATATGGGGATGTTTCAATCAATATTATTAATATGGCCTTGCTGTTTTAAAGAAGAACCTTTTTTAAAGATTTTTTTTCCTCTATACATGTATTATGTAAAAAAAAAATAAATAAAAATAATTTTGTGTCATTATTACACAGAGTTGGACTGGTTTGTGTTGTTTTCTATTTGATGTCTTTTAACTGAAAAAAATCCAACAAATGATGATTGAATCCCCCACCCCCCAATAAAAATAATTCAGACTAAGAGAAGTTTTTATACATTTTACTAACAATGTAATTATTGTGGGAACCTTCAATTGCTAAGTTTTGTTTACATAAACTAAGCACAGTAGGGCAAGGGTCAAACATGATTTCTAGTGTCATGAGAACAAGAACTATAAAGAAAAATGACAGCTTCTGGTAAACAATTCAAAATACAGGACAATTTTACATTTTCTATGAATTCTTGTGTCTCACCATGATGCCATGAATAGGGTCAAAAATATGGCATGTACAGCCAGTACATATCACATGTATGCAATCCTTAAAAGGGGTGTTCATGATTTCAATTTACGTTCAACCTACATTTATTTGCATCAGCTGAAGATCATTTGTCCTTTAAAATTCTGTAGAAAATAGGTAAAAAGGATTATCATACATGTATGAAGTAAAGGAGAAAGGCCTCAAACTGTCCATTCTGTGAGAGAAAGAACTAATCGAGGACCGTAGGCCCGAGATTAGTTCTTTCCCTCACAGAATGGACAGTTTGAGGCCTTTCTCCTACTTAAAACATGATTTCCTTTGTTCTAAGAATTAAATAAAAAATGTACAATACTGTTATCAGATATGACAGGTAGCATACATACAATGACAAGTTCATTGTTTACAGAATGGACAGTCACAGGTAAGCTGGGATGAACAGCAATTTGTTGAATAGCCATTGTGTTTTCAAATGCAAATAACAAATTAAAGGGTTTTGTCTTAAGAATGGACAGTTACAGGTGGATTTTGGGGGAAACTAGTATTTATACAAAGATGTGATGCTTCAAAATCAGTTTATAGTTTGCGTTGTAAAGGCATGCATGTTTTCCTCCGATGGAGAGAGTATATGACAGAAGCAAAATCTAATGAACTAAAAGATGCACAAAATCGGTGATAGTTGGACCTGGGAACAGAGAATAGTAAGAGTAAAGAAAATAATAGCCAAACTTTGACCCAAAAATGAATTTCTTTTTCGACAGATACAGATAATCAAATTCGAATCAAATCTGGAAATGTTTTATCTGAATTCAATTTTTGAGGATATATTGGCTGCAGCAGTGTAATGGTGAGATGCAAATTGTGTTCTCAGTCTTGGATTAGCCATGAACCAAACTTCGACCTGAAAATGTATTTCAAATCAAATTCAGTTTTAATTATGCAGTGTAGTGCTCATGGTGCAAACTGTTTTCTGGGTGGTGGATTTAGTATTAGCCGTACTTCATTCTTAAAATGGATTCTTCTCAAGGGAATGATGTTTTCGAAATTTAAATCAAATGTGAAATCGTGTCATTTAAATTCAAGTTTTGTGAGAATTCAGTTTTAAGTATTGAAATAATTATTCATGGATTCAAAAGTATAAAATCGAGCGGATGCTATGCAGACATTGTGTTCTGGATTAACTTAGATCTCCGTGTTCTTTTTGTTATTTACATGAAAATTAAATCGTATTAATGTATTTGTTTTTTGTTTCCTCTTGGGCACATTCCAAAGTTTACCTGTAACTCTCCATTCTGTTAGTTTTAACTGTCCATTCTTTTTGAAAAAAAGGGGCCACAATAGACAATCAAAGTTTTATATAGGAATACAGTATATAGGAAACAATCTTTAAAAATCTTCTGATCAAGAACAGCAAAGTCCTGATTAGTCATATTAATTTGGAAGCATCCTCAGGTAGTGTAGATTCAAGTTTATTCAAATCATGGCCCCTGGAGGTAGAGTGGAGCCACAATAGATCAAAGTTTTACTTAGGAATGTATAGAAAAAATATGCTGATGAAGAACAGTTTCTCAGGTGAGCACTGTTGCCCATAGGCCTCTTGTTTTTCTTCTTTTTTTTTCTGAATCCCAAAATATCTAGCATTACATTATACATCTGAATAAAGTACTAATTCCTAGGATTGTTTGCAGGGCATTTTGGAGTATTGTATAATGTTTTTAAAAAAAAAAAGGAAAAGAAAGAAAGAACAAGAGGCCCAAGGTCCTTAACGGTCACCTGAGTATAATACAACAATTTAGAAGTTAAATACACTGATAGATGAAGCTTTGTTGCCCTAAAGCAAGAGAAGTAGGAAGATCAGGATCAACAAAATAATTAGTCTAGTATTCAGTATCAACTCATAAATTAAGTTCTAATCTGTCCCCCACTTTGCATTATCACCATGCAGACTATTAACAAACTATTAGTGCTTCTGTACTATTTTTAAACCCATATTAAGACCTCTAGCATTGACCTCTCTTATGGTCTTTGAAGAACTTTTAATAAGATAAGTTATTTTTGTCTCATTTTTATTTATCTATTACTTACAGGTCTGCCTGATTATTAAAACTAAGAAAGTACTTTTTGAATTATACGATAAACATTCTTGCATAATTATCTTATTCTATTAACCTTTCAAATACATTATTTACAGTGATTAATTATCAAAGGTGAATGGAAAAGGGGAATAACTTCTCTCAGTAGAATACAAATTAATAGAGCCCTGTCCAGGACCAGAATGCTTAGACAAATTGTCCAGATGTTCAAAAATCTGGTAGAAATACACTTACTTATATCATTTAAACTTTTACTCAGTTTGCTTTCGATATGCCCAGAAGCAGAGAAGAATTTCACAGGTACAATGCATTTTCACTACAGATTCAACAAAGCCTTACCCTAACACCAGAACCCAAGACCAAAGGTCAAGAAATTTACAAATTTGGAAGAGTTACCCTCATTATCATAACTATGGACTTCAAAGAATTAACACTTTTCCACTATATTATCAAAAGCCCCCCCCCCCCCCTTCCTTGTTATGCCAGAACTCCTGACCCTAGGACCACAAGATTTAAAAATTCTGTTCGAAGCTCCCATCTTCATCATAGCTAAGCAATTTATTTATCAGCTCAACACTAAGGAGCAGACAGGATTAGTTAATGATTAATTAATAGAATTTATGCATTTTCACTACATAATCAATAGAGCCCCCCCCCCCTCCTCAAGAACCCCAAAAACCGAGGCCATGTATATAAAAAATTTGGAAGAGGCATCCTTGCCTATCATAATCATGCACTTAGTTTGTTTAAATAATCTCCAGTAGCAAATAAGAAGATTTTCATAGAATCAATGCATTTTTACTATATAATCAATAGAGCCCCGCCCTAACACCAGAACCCCTGACCCTGGGGCCATGAAATTCACAGTTCTTAAAAGGCATCCTTATGCATCATAACCATGCACTTAGTTTGTTTAAATAATACCCAGGAGCAGAGAAGAAGATTTTCAAAGAATTAATGCATTTTCACTATATAATCAATACAGTCCCGCCCTAACACCAGAACCCCTGACCCAGGGGCCATGGCTTTCACAATTCTGGAAGGGGCCCACCTCCTCATCATAACTATGTACTTAGTTTATCACCTTAATGCCCAGGAGCAGAGGAGAAGATTTTCAAAGAATTAATGCATTTTCACTATATAGTCAATAGAGCCCCGCCCTAACACCAGAACCCCTGACCCTGGGGCCATGAAATTCACAATTTTGGAAGAGGCTCTCTTGCTCATCATAACTATGTACTTAGTTACTTTATTTAATACCCAGGAGCAGAGAAGATTTTCAAAGAATTAATGCATTTTCACTAGATAGTCGATAGATCCCCGCCCTAACACCAGAACCCCTGACCCTGGGGCCATGAAATTCACAGTTCTTAAAAGGCACTTTTGCTCATCATAACTATGTACTTAGTTACCTTATTTAATACCCAGGAGCAGAGAAGAAGATTTTCAAAGAATTAATGCTTTTTCACTATATAATCTATAGAGCCCCGTCCTAACACCAGAACCCCTGACCCTGGGGCCATGAATTTCACAATTTTGGAAGAAGCACTCTTGCTCATCATAACTATGTACTTAGTTACTTTATTTAATACCCAGGAGCAGAGAAGAAGATTTTCAAAGAATTAATGCATTTTCCCTATATAATCAATAGAGCCCCGCCCTTACACCAGAACCCCTAAGCCCGGGGCCATGAATTTCACAATTTTGGAAGAGGCACTCTTGCTCATCATAACTATGTACTTAGTTACTTTATTTAATACCCAGGAGCAGAGAAGAAGATTTTCAAAGAATTAATGCATTTTCCCTATATAATCAATAGAGCCCCGCCCTTACACCAGAACCCCTAAGCCCGGGGCCATGAATTTCACAATTTTGGAAGAGGCACTCTTGCTCATCATAACTATGTAATTAGTTACCTTATTTAATACCCAGGACCAGAGAAGAAGATTTTCAAAGAAATAATGCACTTTCACTATATGATCTATATAGCCCCACCCTGGGGCCAGAACCCCTGACCCTGGGGCCATGAATTTCACACTTTTGGAAGAGGCACTCTTGCTCATCATAACTATGTACTTAGTTACTTTATTTAATACCCAGGAGCAGAGAAGAAGATTTTCAAAGAAATAATGCACTTTCACTATATGATCTATATAGCCCCACCCTGGGGCCAGAACCCCTGACCCTGGGGCCATGAATTTCACAATTTTGGTAGAGGGCTCAATGCTCATTACAATGATGCCAACAGTTTGACTGCTTGATGTCCAGGAGTAAAGAAGAAGATTTTTAAAGATTGCATTATTTTTGGTGGTTTTAGCCCCACCCCTCAGGCCCCAGGGGGGCAGGGACCATGAAATTCACAAATTTTGTTCACCTTCACCCATAGATGCTATATGCCAAATTTGGTTGAAATTGGTTAAGCGGCTTCAGAGAAGAAGCTAAAAATGTTCAAATGTTAACGCACGACGACGGACGAGAACGGATAGCAATAGGTCACCTGAGTGACTCAGGTGACCTAAAAATTAAGAAAAATCCGAATTTCTCTGATGATTGATTTTTAGCTCTATTGGTCAGAAACCAGAACCAAACCCTCTATCCGAAAAATATAACATATTTCATAATATTGAAAAACATCTTTCATAGACAATAGATGATTGCACATTTTGGATCAGAGGTTGTGTTCTATCTGAAATATTGAAAAAGACCTTGAAATTTTGAAGAAATTTTTAGGATATGGGAATAATTACACAATTCATGACATCATAATACATTGACTAGCGGGAAAACCATGTCATTTTCAATAGATATGCATCAAGGGTTTAAGTGATATTTAATGCACTGTCAACTGAAACTTAAAGCAGTTTTGATTTTTCAGATATTCACAGGGCCAAAAGAAGCCCTTAGTGAACCTTTCTCTTTTGACTAGAATGATATGGAGCAAAATTGCAATAATTAGAAAATAATCAAAATATTGTCTGTTAAAGTTTATCTTTGTTTCTGCAGGATATGGTGCTCGATGGACGGCAGATGGTTCTTCTTTCAGAGGTTTCCTTGAGCCACAAATGGTGGATGGCCATGCAGTTGGCTGGAAACACTGAATTCTTTATGTGGCTGCTACAAGACCAGAATAAACTGCAAAAATACACATAATACTAAGCAGTTTTTTCCCTTATGCCCCTTTGAGAATATGTCACACATGTTTGGAGCCACCATGTCTTTATTTGGTTTTAATTTTGCAAGATCATTTTGCTAAAAAGATATAAGGATTTATTATGTTTGTGTATAGATAAGGAAAATGTTTCATATCTTTGTTCTTTTAGGAATTGTACTGTAAACCAAATTTATTGGAACAATATTTTTTATGCTTATTTTAACAAGATTGTCTTGACATGAAAATTACATTCTCACAAACAACAAGAAGCAGCTTTGGTCACTAGATAATAAGTGGGAACTATTAAAAAAAAATTGCAAATAATCACAAATTAATTGTCTGTTGTGGTAGTCTGTTGTGAGTTTACATAATGATAGTTTATGTGAGTAATCTATAGAGAATGATGATAGTCTATGATGAATTTACTGTACGTTTACAGTGTGTGTTTATAGAGAGTTTACAGTGTGTGTTATAGAGAGTTTACAGTGTGATGGTCTATAGAGAGTTTACAGTGTGTGTTATAGAGAGTTTACAGTGTGATGGTCTATAGAGAGTTTACAGTGTGTGTTTATAGAGAGTTTACAGTGTGATAATCAATGGTAATTGGGATGCTTTTAATTTTCATTTATGTTATTTTTTTATTATATTGTAATTTTTATTTATTTTATTAGTACAACTTGATTTTTGTTGAATCTTTGTATAATCTGTAAGACAGATTTAGTGATTGAAAATTCATGATTTGCACTTACTAAGTATAAAGACTAATTAATTTGTATGTTACATTAATGAATGTGAAAACTTTTCAGAACTATTGAGCTATTAAATTGTTGTAGATAGATATCTTTCCATAACTCTAAATATTAGCAGTGGGTTTGATGGTCATTTGGAACATTACCCAGCAGTAAATTGGATAACCATCTTTTTTTCTCATTAACTGCTCGTTCAGAACAGTGCACTGGTATACTATTTGAAGTTTATAGTACAACTTAGTTTTTGTTGTCTGATGTCTGCTTTCAATTACTCAGCAGAAAATCTTTATGAAATCCTTTAAGAGATTTCTTTGGTACATGATACTGTATTTGGTTCTGCCCTCAACTGATTATTACATAAACTGACTTGAAGAAGTCCTATCTTTATTTTAGACACTAGTCATAGGGCTAATGATGTATCAAAGAGAATCATAGTGTCTTATTTCCCATCACTGCAGCCTAACTACTCAGACACTGTAATGGGACCTGCACTATAGTTAATGACTCTTTTGAAGTTCGCCATTCTGGTTTAATTGTCTCTGGGCTTGTTTTTATAATTCAATAAAAGTAAATGTACACCAGAAAAATTTTCGAAGAATAGCAGAAAGATTATTCATGATAAAATTTAGCTCTTTATTAGCTCTTTTTGTGATCAAAATTTGTCCATTGCCTGTCATTGTAATTGTAAACTTTTTACAATTTTATCTTCTTCTCCAGAACCACTAGGCAAGATTCAACCAAACTTGACAGAGAGTATCCTAGAGTAAAGGGGATTCAAGTTTGTTCAAATGAAGGGCCACACCCTCTTCCAAGGGGAGATAATGAAGAAATAGTAAAAATTGGGTGGGGTCATTTGAAAATCTCAAGAACCAAGAAAGATGAAACTTACAGTTGAACTTCGGTATCTGGAACACTGATATCTCAAATACCATGGACATGTCGAAGTGATTTGGATGTCCCAACCCCTTATTCTCTAAGGATTTTACCCTGGATATCTCAAACCGTCAGATATCTTGAAGTTTTTTCTCGGTCCCATTGAGTTTGAGATAACAAGGTTTGACTGTATGTGAAACTTTCTGACTGTAATAGGGTAGGTTCAAGTTTGTTTAAATCATGACCCCTGGAGGTTGGATGGGACCACTACAGTTGATCAAAGTTTTACATGTAATTACATGTATGTACGAGGGTTGTCCAAAAAGTTCGTGGACAAATGCCTAATTTTCTTTATAAAGTCCGCAATGGCAAACATGTACGATAATATCTTAATAAAGACCATGATTGAGTAAATGTACAAAAAAATTAAAACAATGCACACTATTTACTGAACATTATAGGTGTAAATACTTTGTATATGCAAGTCGCACGGGCCAGTCTGACGTAACGCTGATTTCATGATAACGACAGAAATATGAATTTTGAATTTTTATCGCATGTTCATAGACGCACGCTATTTTTCTTTATTATGCCACAATACCAAATGTGTGCAATAATATTTATGTATAGATTATAAGTAATTTAAATTTTAAAATTCAAAACAATGCACAATAATTTACGAGCGTCATCAATATTAACACTTCGTAAACACAGGATGCACAGCCCATCCCGACGGCACTATATTTATAACAACGTCATGAATAGGAATATATCCTATTTTCATAAAATAACCGTGGTTTTCCACTTCTTGTAGTGTCTCCGAAATTTTACACACCGTTGAAAAATCGTATACACCAATTACAAATCACTAGACTAAATATTTTCCAATAAATTTAAGTTGTTTGAATAAATGTTTTGTTTTTGACGACGTTTCAACTATATTAACCATAACTGTATGATTGGACGCTGCATGTCCCGTTCGGATGGCCGACGTCGCTTTTTCTGTCAATTTTTGAAACATACTTTTTGCGGTTTTTACTTAATATTTTCATTGTCTATTTAGTTACCGATACTAAAGGTATCAGAAAATGGCGATAACCGCTTTATTTGTGATATATTAAATTTTTATTCAACTTTGACTCGTTTTAAAAAGAAAATAACCATTTCAATCAGATCACTTTATTTAAAAGTTCATGGCATTTTAACCCTGGTCCGTGCGCACTATCGGTGACCTTTAATGACCGAGATTTTTACAAAAATATTAAGTTCAAACAATAAAAACCAAACTATTCCGACTTGGATTTTCATAATTAATATTTTGGTATACAATAAGCATATCTTGAACCATTCATTTTGACAAAAACGCCATTGTCCACGAACTTTTTGGACAACCCTCGTATATATAGAAAATATCTTTCAAAATCTTCTCAAGAACAGGAAGCCATGATTAGTCATATTTAAATGGAAGCATCCACAGGTAGTGTATGTTTAAATGATGACCCCTGAGGGTAGGGCGGGCCACAATGGGCATGCAATCAAAGGTTTACATTAAAATCTTTAGAAATCTTCTCAAGAATAATAAAGCCATGGTTAGTCAAATTTATATGAAAGCATATTCAGCAAGTCTGGATGATTTCCATATATGGAATTCATGAACAATAACTGAAAGCTGATATAAATATTCTGTATATCCACCCCTACGTAGGGTTCTCAGGGGATGACTCTTACTCTACCTGAGTTTATGATCTTACAATATGTAATTATCACTATGTACAGTATAATAATTTTTCTCAAATCTATCTGGGTTTTTCTATTAACAGAATATATGAGGTGGACTGAATTCTAATGACTGGGTAATTCTTGGGCTTGGCACCGTGTACCTTCCCCCAGGTTCCTATTGATAGCGGATACTAGGTGTTTCGTTCTTATTCAGATCTACAGCCCCCAGTATCTCGCCTCAGTTCCCAGGGATTCTTGTCACGGGTGCTAACCCATTTACCCTTTCTCTACCCTTTCCTTCTTTCTTACACATCTTACTGCCTTTCTTCCAACTTACCAACAGAGCCGTTCAGCATTCGAACTAACTGACACTATCAGTGCGGTGTATTTTATACCTTTCAGAGTAGTCTACTTTGAGGGAGGACAGGTTATTCCATTTTAGCCCTACATCTGGGTCGACTTTGCGTTTTCACAAATCATGTATACACGTAAATATTTTTCTGTCCAATCAGACAACAACATTTTTACACACCCCAAGACATATTTCAAAGGAACAATAAGAGAACACGTGCTTTTGTCTTTTTTTCCTCAAAAAGATTTTTTTGACAAAAAAATTTTAGAAGTAAGATGAAATGTTTTGAAGAATAAGGTATTTCCCCCATATTTACCGTAGACATGCCTGTCATTTTCATCTCGGAGGGAAAAACCAACACATCAATGCTTGTAAGAATGCGGTCGTTTACGGGGGAATAGATCACACCATCAAGATATCAATTACAATTACATGTATAACATTTACCAGTACATGCTCTATGTTGGTAAATGTAATTTTGCTTAGCCTTCCGATTTTCATCGATAACGTGAAGTTGATCTACGGCACGCAAGTGTTCATCGTACAGACTAAGTTTTACAATGTCACGGGTTTTATGAGCGCTGAATATCATGCTAGTACATGCTGATACACTTCGAATGGGCATAAGGAAAGATGTAAAACGTAGAGAAAAGGAGAATGTAGATGAATCGGTGCTTTTTACCTCCAAATTTACCAGAAACTGGGCGATTTTGTTATAAACACTTAGGAAATAATATTAAGACTGTTATATCCCCAGTACCAAAACATTTTCATTCCCGGGTCTAAAAATGAAAATATGCCGTATTTCTTAACACAAGTTATACTTTTGGGATTGCTACCCTGTAGGGACAGATTTTTAATCCCACTTGGAACTTACTCTAAGCTTTCAAGTCGTGTTTGTTCACGTAAAATTGTTATATATACTGTATTATTCCTAAATGTGCATAAAGTTTACAAAAAGTTTGTTCTAAAAAATCTTTTGAGCAAATAAGTTTAAAACCACGTGTTTTATTTACTTTCTCATGGGTTTGTCTAAATGCCGTTATCTGATTGGTCATCAGGATTAACACCTTGTTTA